TGGACAAAAACAATTGACAAACTGATTATTTCTAATTTGTTGTGTTTGAACAGACTCACATTATTTATTGAGTCTTCAAACATCTTCATAAAACACAAAACAATCCCCTGACACACTTCGAAGTTTCACAGCAATACATTATTAAAATGATTACTAAAAGTTTCATCGAAATATAAACTTCAACAGCTTCTAATTATTTTGTTTTCTGAATGCCAATTATACAACAGTTTCCTTTTATTTTTCAACAATGCTATATCTAAAATGATTTCGTCGATGAAGAGAGTTTTTACACAAATATTATATTGAAAAAAGATCGAATAAACGCAACATTCAATCAAAATTTGACTAAATAATTATGTATGTGATCTATCATTTTCTGAAATAGTGCTTCTCAAAGTTTTATGGAATTCCAGACATCGACATGCTTAGACTTTAACTCATAAATTCATATAAGAAAAGTCATGCCAGCTGGTAACATAACACAATATTAGATAGGTAAACAACATTATAAAAAACTTGCTCACCTATGAGCTTTATACATGCAATGGTAAATTCCGCTTTCCAGGAAATTCAAAAAAATGACTATAGAAGAAATTTCATGGAAATTTAATTGAATGTTTTAAAGATAATCATAGCGAACTCACGTTATAAAAAGGAATATCGAAAAAAAGTTAAAGCTCAAGTTAGAGTTTGGTTGGGTTGGGTTGGGATGGGTTGAGTGTGGGCGTGGGTGTAGGTGTGGGATGTGGGTGTAGGTGCGGGTGTAGGTGTGGGTGTGTGTGGATGTAGGTGTGACTTAAAAGAAAACAACACCCACATCCACACCCACTCACACCCACACCCACACCCACACCCAACTCATCCCATCCCATACAATCTCAACACAACTCAACCCAACCCAACCCAACCCGACCCAACTCATCCCATCCCATACAATCTCAACTCAACCCAACCCATCTCAACCCAGCCCATTCCAACCCATCTCAACCCAACCCATAACATCCCTCACATTCTCAACCTAACACAACCCAATCCGACCCAACCCAATACAATCCAACCCAATTCATCCCAACCCATACCATCCCTTACATTCTCAACTCAACCCAACCCATACCATAACCTTCTTGAAATCATTCTTCACTTGAGGCGCAGTCAAATTTGAATTTCCTGGAAAGCGGAATTTACCATGCCCTCGCTTTATACGAAGAAAACTGATCCTAATTCAATGTAAAATAGAATAGAAAACAAAAGATTTCTATCGCGACAATCTATCTGAAAATCTACGATTCCGTATACTCTAAACCCTGCAAAGGGATAACCTTCAATCGAGCTCAAATTTTCACCCAATATTCTTATATATGTACTCTATTAATGGTAGTAGTGCCAACTTATGAAATGTTCCCTAGGCTATTTAACAGGATTCTCAAGAAGTCTGGCCATAAATCCTGTTTTAGGCGTTTATATTGCATTTTGGAAAGAAATTAAAGTAATATTTGGAATCAGCTCGATGAGCTGCATCGAATCATGTGTGTATAAGTGTTTTTGAAAAAATTTTCGGTTCGTTTTTAACAGAGAACTCGATTTGGCAACCTGCCACTTCGGACTTTGTAAATATAGAAATAGATTACGTCTGATCGAGCTCAAAGTTCTATCAGATACTCCTATATAATCATCCCATTGATGGTAACAATGTCAACCTGTGAAATGTTTTCGAGACAATTTTAGAGGTTCCCGAAAAAATCCTAGGTTATCTGTTGGAAATCCGATTTTAGGTATTCATAATACACTTTGAGGAAGAGTTAATATGACTTTCAGAATCAGCACATTGAGCTAGGTCGAATGATATACAGCTCAAAATAATTTCTAAAAAAACTGATTCCTCGGAAAAAATTAGTCTGAAGTCTTACTTGAACATTGTGTGAAAAAATAATTTTTTTTTTGGAAAAAGCTTTTATTTTTTTAAAGACGATTTGTTAGTAATATACGATTATTTCTGAGCAAGCGAGTCATAAGTCCATCAGCTTATGTGGAAGCTTTCCTATGCGCATGAGTTTGATAGAATTAGTTCGGTATATTCAAATCTCTACTATTTATGCCCCATAATACAATTTCTGATGGACGCTTATATTGTGACCGTGTGCTGCTGTAGCGTACACATGCGAAAACCATCTTCATGAACGCGAAAGACAGCATCACTGCTATTGCCATGGTCATATATGTATATATATAAGTTGCTGAATATAGTGTCACGATTCTAGACTTTATTTGAGTAATGTTTGTTGTGCATTAATGTGAGTAACATTACGAATGAAATTAACCATGAATGGTTATTTTCGTGCTTGTTTTTGGCCATAACTAACAGATTTTGGTGTCACACTAAACTAATTGCGCTATATGGTGTCGGCAAGCTACCAACAAATTTTCAACAAACAGAATGGGCATCTAAACAACAATTTATTGCAAGGAATGAAAGAAAGAAATTGAGTTTAATAGAAAATCGTATACATAATCCCACGATATGAAATGACTTATATTTTTTGATTCATAAGTATTATTTCAGTCGATAAAAGCATTAAAATATCATCGAATGGAACCAATTCATAGTTTGCTTTACGATCTCATTTTCTTAGAGAGTCCGAATCAGTTTATTTCTTCTTGTAAACAAGTTTGCTTGATAAAAAAACATATTTTGTTCGATATTCTTTAACTGTAGACTAAAGTATAACGTGTCGATTATTCTATGTTTGATTTCAATTATTCCCCAGAGGAAAAATACATATATGTATTATACATTCTGTTTTTCTTCGAAAAGGTACAAATGACGACATATTTAAAGAAGGCTGCTTATGACTTTTTACGCATTGAATATATTTGTCTCTTACTTCCTTAGTTTTGTATTCGACTGTTGCTATGCTGAAGAAATTCAGAATATTCTAAAATTCTGAATTTTCTTTTTTGAATGTGCATGTATCATTAATATATTTAAACAAAAGAGAATATACAACAAGTAATGAAGTTGATACTAAAACATTAGCATTAAGTTCGATATGTGCAAGGTTTTGCTTGCTAACGAGTAAATCTAAACAGTATAAATTACAAGGGAAAGTATTTCATTCAACAAAAACAAAACTATTTATTAGTATTTGATACCAAAAATAGTTTTGTTTTGCAAAATTTGGGACAAAAGAAAAGAGTGCATAATTTGTATTTTATGAAATTGTGCAATCACTCTCCTGTAAAGCACGTAATAATCGCCGTTCTGGATCGAATCTACCAGTTAGACGATTCATTGGACCAAAATAATTTGTTCGCATTCAAGATATTTTATATGTCATTATACTTGTCACTTGACGAGATCAACCAGCTACAAGAGTCGATTCAACAACACCAAAACGATTTCGTACTTGACTTAATTCATAGAAATTATTTCCTGATGAACCACACATAGCATCACTTTCAAAAAAAAATTTTATCTTCAAATTCATCTAGACTTAGAACTAAGCAAAGTTTATAAACAATTTCATCTTCAGCATCTGACAAAAGCCAATAATTTTAATACTTTGTATACCGAAGGATATTTACATCATTAAAATCAATAACCGAGCATACGCATTTTAAATAGTACATACATCTTGCTATATCATTATTCGGAACACTAGCTGCTGTACCTGTTTCTCGAATCCCAATATTATTTTGTTACCACATTGCCATATTACTGGATTATAATATTTTTTTTCAAAAAGAATTCAAATACAATAAAAACATAAACATATAGATATGCATGCATTTAAATAATTTAATGTTGGAGAAATTCTTGTGCGCATGGGAAAAAACCAAAGTCAATATATGACAGATAAGAAAAGTGTGTACCTTTGATGGCTTATTTTTAGCAAGAGAATATTTTTGAAGGTATCTTGGTTTTTTCCAAGAAGCTTGAAACTTAGGAGTAATCATCAGGGTATATCTGGTTAGATATCCAGACATTTCAATGATAAACGCCATAAACGTTGTCCCTCGAACAATCTCAAGTATCTCTATGCAGTCAACTACTCCACTGTGTTGTATATTGGTAAATTTTGAAATTCGCTTTAATTCAAGAAAAAAAAACTAACGATAGTATTTAATTTTCTCATCATTTATGATCAAATGAAAGCTATATGTACAAGTCACTCAATTACGAATGATTATTGTCCATTTGTTCAATATATGAATACTTTGATATATGGTTTCTGTTGATTGATAGATTTGGAAATGTTTAATGTAATAGGATATTGAAGTATTCATATGTTATGATTCAAACTTCAATAAATATGAAAACAAATATTTAAGTAAAATTCAATAGTTTAATTCTTAAATAATACATCCTAATAATGACATCACAATATATCAATTTTACTGGAATGTCATTCTCGATGTAGTCTAATATAAAGTGTAATGATACTCTAATAAAAAATAAAAATGTATTATTCCTATTCGTCAGTACTTTCATACTATTGTTTTTAATCTTATTAAAATTAGTCTTTTGCTGAAAAATTAAGTACATGGACTTATTCCTCATGATTCCAACTGAAATAAATCCTTAATTGCTTGATTTTGGTGATCATTGTTTACAATTAAAAGTCAAAATTTTCTTTCAAAGATAATTATGATATTTTCACTGTCAATTTCAATACATTGACTTGAATCATTCTTCGAATGTCCTTATAAACTTTTAATCACACATCTGTTCCCAATGTTCTTGGTGACATACTTGTACACAGAACATTAGTAGTCAAAAATATAAGCTGATTTTTTATTAATCGTTGTTTTGATGATAATGATATTTGTCTGTTCGTTCATCTATGAGTATTATTTTATCATTCATTGTTTTTCTAATTAATAGAAATAGTTATATATCATTTTAAAGAAATTAAGATCACTGCAAGTCAATAAAAAAAATCTAACGAATAGACTATATCTGCATTTATTTTCGAAAGAAAACAGAAAAACAATTCATTTATTTATTTTTTCTTTCTTCGCATTCGAACAACTTTTTCTTGTTGTAAACGTTCAAAATCTTCACTATTTGGATCATCTAATATGCCCTTTTCAATAAATTCTTGTTCACTCCATACAGTTTGATGACCACGTAATTTTGGTCGTTGTGCTAATCGTCTTGGTATATGATAATGTTCAAAATCATAACGTTTTTTATATTCTTCTAAAACACGTTCTTCTTCATCACGTAAATGTGGATATTTTTGTAAAACCTTAGCAACAATTTTCCTAATACGATTTGTTTCTCGATATTCTTGATGTTCTTGAAATTCATTATAACGTCGTTTAAATATATTTGTCCATGGCTAAAAATAAATAAATAATTAATAGAAAAAATTTAATAAATGAATATACAAGATACATACAGATGGTTTACGTTTACCCCATAATAATTGATAATAACGATTTTTATAAAAAGGTAATATACGTTCCTTTGGTTGATAATATCGTAAAAGACCAAAACTTGTGTCACTAAAAAAAACACAAAAACATAAAATAATCTATGAATAGATTTTTAATTAATCATACCGTATTTGAGGAGTTTGTTCACCAGTTTTACCTGTTTCTAATAAATTATAAGCAATATCACGTTCTCGTATAACCGACATTATATTACGCATACTTTCTTCAACCTAAATATAAAATCAAATTGTTTTTTTTGACCATTTACTCCTTCTTGGTCATTCGAGTGACAATTCATAAAACGATTACAGAAGATAAAGGAAACCTAGAATTAAAAGCTTTGGGAATATACCTTGTAGTGAACTCCATAAACTATCAATTGATAAGAAAATATTTTGTTTTCTATTGCTTCATTTTCAAACAACAAAAGAAGAATTACAAAATCAATAAGTTTCAAAAAAACTGCAACAGTTAGACTTTTTTTTTAAAATCAAATGTTTTTTTTCTATCAACAGACAACACATATGAGAGAAATGTATTGGGCGTAGACTTCTGAAAAATGGTCACGGTCACGATCACGGTGTCTCGTGACCGTGATCGTGATCGTGACTAGTTTTCGAAAAATTGTCATGACTGGGATCGTGATCGTGACTAGTTTTCGAAAAATTGTCATGACAGGGATCGTGATCGTGACTAGTTTTCGAAAAATTGTCATGACTGGGATCGTGATCGTGACTAGTTTTCGAAAGATTGTCATGACTGGGGTCGTGACCGTGACCGTGACTAGTTTTCGAAAAATTGTCGTGACTGGAATCGTGATCGGGGCCAAATAGTTCGTGATCGTGACCAAATAGCTCGTGATCGTGACTAGTTTCGAAAAATCTCCGTGACTATGGACGTAACCGTGACTAGGCAGCTCGTGACCATGACATGACTAAAAAATCGTGGTCACACGCAGAAGTCTAATTGTGCGATATATAACAATAATAATGTCTACTATTAGTATGCATAACATTTGAAAGTTTCACGAAAGCTAGATAAAGAACCAGATAGTACAATACAGAATATTCACTACGAATTTTCCAGAAAACCAAAACTCTAGTTTTTTAGCGCCTACAATCCGAGCATAATGTTTTGTCACATCAAACGAAACAGTAAAGCAAGCCATTCTTTACAAAATGAGACATCTCCAAGCTCTATACGACGTTTTTTGGCCGAACTAAGTCAAGATAGATTTCTTTATCAAGTCATTCTTCCTTAATGGTCATTAGAATGACTAAACAAGAGTTCGCCTGATCGATATATTAAAAAGAGACCAATATCCTATTCTGATGGTTATTTCATTAGTGACTCTTCTGACATCATGCTATGGAAGATAAATGATTAATTTCTTGAAATCAAAATAATAGATAAATAATCAATTATTTACTTTATCAATGCGTTCTGGACTAGGAAATAATTCATGTTGATATCGATATTCTTCTTCCATAGTTAATAAACGATTACGTTCTTTCAATAGAACATACCTAAATAACAATGATTAAACATTATAAAATTTTCCTCTTTTTTCTTTTGTTTATATTTATTACCATAATTTATGTAAGTCTTCATTACTTTTTAAACGTAATTCATCTACATACCACCAACGCCCTACAAAAATTTTAATTTTAATGAAAAAAAAAACATCATATTAAAATAAAAATGCTACCATGAATAATTTTTGATTCATGTAAATTATCTGTTGTATCAAAAAATTCCATCAGATTACTTTTTTTCATTGGTGTTACTTTTGTACTAACATCAACTGATGGTTCTTCTTTCGGTGGAACATCAGTTGTTTGCCAACGTATTTGTTCAAGACTTCCTAAACATGATCTCACAGTAATAAATGAACATTTCTGTGAATTAATTGTCCAACGAATTATCCTTAACAGATTCATTTCATCTAAAAATATTTTTCTGTTATTATAACCTAATTATTATTTTATTGTAGGAATTTTTATTTCGTATATTCTTATCACAATGAAATAATAGACAAAAAATTTTGTTTTTGTTTTGTCTTTTAGGAGAATTAGAAAAACAAAAAAAACAAAAGAAACTAAACTGTACATTGGATGAATATTAATCGATGATGAAAAACTTATTTTATCACTTTAGTTAACAAAGACAAAAAGAAACAATGTAATAGAATACATTCATTGGAATATTGAATGATAATAAATTGGTGATTAAAAAAAAAGAAAAACAAAAACAATTTAATAAAAAAAAAACTCGTTTTTTTGTTTTTGAAAATGAGATTGTTACAAATAAAAAAGTTTATTTGCTAGATTCACACTAAAATCTTGATGAAGACTTTGACCAACTAAAAATGCTAATTTATGAGCATATTGACAAACAGCTAAAAGAAATTATTATATTTACAATGATTTTAAAATATTAAATATAAAATTTTTTTTACCTGGTACTCGAATTGTTCCTGGCCAATTGTAATACAAATGACATCTATAATAAAAAAAAAATTTTAATGATCATTTAAGGAAAACAAAAATCAATCAATATTTACAATTTATATGTTAACCGTTGCATATGATCAACTTTAAAATTTGTTCGATCCCAAATAACACTATAAAATAATATATTTTATTTTAATTAATAAAAAAAGAAAAAAAAAATTAAACCATACTTATAATGTGTTGGTGCAACTGTTCCTTGTCGAGCACATTGTGAGATTAAATAAAAATCATACCATTCAGCCTTTAAAAAACAAGAAACATGAATATAAAATTCGATTTTTTTTTTGTAAATTTTTTGATAATTTACACTTGTAACAGTATGATCAATGATAGTTCCTGGTTGAGGATTTTGTATATTACGACCTTCTTGTTGAAAAAATCGAGCATTACCACGTTTTTTTACAATAATAACAGCTAGTTTTGGTTCATAACCAGACATTATCTTTGGAAATGTTTCAATTATTTGTGGTAATTCATGTTCAGCAACAACTGCTAATTGACCATCACTAACACCATCTCGATAAAGAACAACTAATTAAATCAAAAACAAATATATGTACGTATGAATTATTTTTTATTCATTAAAATAATATTTAAAAACTTACTCTTTTCTGGTAAACAATTATTATTTTGATAATATTCTTTTAATGCATCTAAATAATTACAAAATAATAAGTTAATTAATTCAAATTTTTCATCTTTATACCTTTCATACAAACAGCTAAACCATCCATAAGTTCTTGTGCTGTACGTTGATAAATAACACGTGAATAGAATTTTGTTAATGTTGGATTTGTTGATGCAACAAATGCACCTACAGATGCACCGCGACGTTTTGAATCTAAATAAGAAAAGAAATAATAAAACTTTCAATACAATGTTGCTAATATTCTATTATGAAACATCAAAAAATTGTTTTAATTCAAAAATCTGTGTGCCACAAAAAAAAACCAAATGTTTTATATCAAATAGTAGAAAGATGGAAAGCAAGTTTTTTTTGTTATGCTCTGACTATGGAAAAGTTTTCTAACGCTTACTCCATCTTGCACATCTCTATTAGATAGATATATGAGGATGATATAGAGAATTTCTCAATTACCATGATATGAATCCATTCCAATAACCATTAAAGTTTTTGTTGGAATTTGTACACCCCATACTTCACCACCTAATTTAGCATTTATTTGTATACCAATTTTTGTTGCAACAGACATTAATTGATTACGGCGTGCTAATGTTTTTGTAAGAACCATCTAAAATTTAATGATAAATTATTTAATTAAAAAAACAAAAAAACAAAGAAAATTTTACTTGTGATGGTACAGGATTATCAAGACATAAAAATTTTTTTAATGCATCATAACGATCTTTTCGATTATTGGATAATACACACAAGACAAGGTCTGTATTACGAGGTATAAAATCTTTTAATGCTTGAAGATAAGATTCAGGTCGATCATTTACTAATTGTTGTCTGAAATAAAATAACTTTCAATGTTGTGGTTTCTATTTTTTTTTTATTCGATATTACAATAACTTACATAAAAGGATATTCAACATGCATACCTATTGAATAACATAAAGACAAATTGTGTTAGTCAAAAACATTTAAAAAAAACCTAAGATTTAATCAAAAATATTTTACCAAATGGTTGACAAACGTGCATCAATGCATCAATAAGTCCTAATGAAATTTGTTCATCTCGTCCTGGAAATACTACAATCCAATTATTTAGAGATTTAGCACTTATATGACGCATATTACGACCATCACGACTCCAATCTATTGAAAAAAAAACAATACGATATCTACTTCATAAAAGTTTATATTCTTTTTTTTTTTTCCTTACCGGCCTCGTTATAGTTATATCTCACTGAATGCTATAAAGACAAATAAATAATTTAAATAAATAAATAAAATAAAGAAAGATATTTACATCGAAATATAATATATGTTCAGCCTCAAGAATTCGTGCTTCAAATTTGACTAGATCAGTGTCAAGTTTCAAATTCCATTTAGCTAATTCATCTTGACATTCATAATTTCTACGATTAGAAATTTTAATTAACAAAAAAAAAATATATATATATATATATACAAGGTGTCCCAAAAAACTTACTTCCTACGTAATTTTTGAAACACACTCCCTATGATTCAAAAATTACGTAAGGAGTAAGTTTTTTTTGGTACATTCTGTAATAACATACTGATGAATATCAGTTACAAATTGTCGAAGACGATTATAACGAGTATTAGCATCAACGTGTGTATAGCTTGCAATTTCTTTCATAAAATGAAAATCTGAACGCATTACATCACTAATACCTATGAATATTTTTAAATAGATTTTAGAGATAAATAAAAAAAATAAATAAATATTTTACCAGTAACACAACATAATTCAGGTACAAGTAAAAATGGTGCATTGACGCCAGCTCGACGATCTTTTTTTGATGGTTTACTAACTAAAAGTGGTTGTCCAGGATCGATTATTTTTAATTGATATTTCTATAAATAAGTTAATATCATATACAAATGAAGATAAGAAAAAAATTAGATAAAAATACATCTTCATAATATTGAATAAATGAACATTGTGTACCATCACGCATTGGAAATGTTTGTGATGGAGCACGTTCCCATGCTATTTCATCTATTTTATACGTTTTCGAATTGTATGTTGTAAGCACAATCTAATAAAAATGTTCACATTATTTAGAATTATTAATGTATATTCTTTAACATATGATATACTTTTTAATTCAATCAAACCGTTCAATACCGTACGAAGGTAAAAGAAAAACAATAAAATTGCTTCTAGTTCTCATTGGTTTTTTTCATACTGTCAAATGGAAGTAATTGCGATGAATAATCATCATTATCTCTGGTTAGATGCATTTAGATACTGTCAAACGATGTTATAAACAAATCATAGATAATGTGAATTTCTCTCTACTGACTTTCAGCAATCATCGAAAGTTCATTTCGAATAGCAGTACAACGAAATTGATCTTTCTTCAAATTATTGGGCAACATCTCGATACTTTGTTTCTCTCATATCGCAACTTGCCTATTTCACAAATCTTTTTATGTATCATATTTTTCATAATCAACTATCAGAATTCGTTCACGATTTTCAGTATTCTTTCCCTTAGTCGTCAGAGAGCATTTGCATTGAAAGTTATTGTCACACTACAAATACACAAATATGTTCACCTTTGATAATCACACGGAGAATGATTCAATGAACCGTCGAATCTAATAAGAGATTGAAAAAAAAACCTGAAAAACAAACCAAACTCGAACTCATTGGCTTTGGGTTTTTGGTTCGACTCCAGGATGTAGTCTAACAAGGTTGCCAAAATCTCTCTCTTGACATTCTCTAGGATCATTCTTCTACTTCAATTTTCTACCAATGGAAAAATGCTGTATCGCGTGGTTCACTAGATAAGAACATTTTTCGTCATTTAAGCAAAAACGATTCAAACGATTTAGGGGCATCATTAATACCGACAAGATGAACCTTGTAAAAAATTACTCTGATATTAGTCATCTGATTGATCGTGTACACACTACAGAGGAAAGCTCATATCAGACTGTATTTCATACAATTCAATTATTTGAAATCCTTTGCAAAAGAATCTATGAGTCGCAAAGAAGAAAGACTTATAAGCCACTGCAAAAAAAAAGCAAAAAGATATTCCTACAAAATCATTGTTGTCTATTGAAAATACAAAAAATTATTTTTCATCTCGATCATAATCTATTTACCTGACCGACTAACTCTTTGGTAGCAGTATCTTGAGCATGTTTTACATCTTGATATTGGCTAAATATATCTTGTAAACGTTGATATACAGTAGTTTTATTTAACACCTTATGAGATAAATCTACATTGACCATCAAAGATCCTTCATAAATATTAACATTTGTCATAAAACCTGGAAATAATGTTAATTTATATCGATCAAGATCAATTTTACGATCAAATTGATAATAATTTCTACCGACTAATTTGTATAGAAACAAAAAAAAAAAAAAAAAGTTTAATTAACGAACGAAGAAAAAAATCAGTTGCAAAACTAACTTAATTTCATGCCTGATAATTCAAGTAATCTAAACATAAATTATTCAAAGAAAATTATGAATAGATTTTAGAAAAATAAAACAACCATACTTTCGAACAATAAGATTAGCCAAATGAAAAAAAATTGGTGAATCAGGTGAATTTCGTGCTACTTTTCGTAGAACAACTCTAACTTCATCGGATGTTGCTGGATGACGACAAACAAATTCTGGTGAATCACCAAAATCATCAAAAGTATAGATCGTTGTACCATCAAATGCTACATCTTTTAATTTTGTCTATAATCAAAACAAAAAAACAATTTCTATGAAAAAACATAAATTCAAATTTCATACTCGATGTTGACTAATTATTTCTCGTCGAAAACGTTTATTTTCAACATTTGGTATAAATTCAATATGATATTGAAAAAGTTCCCATTGAGGTTTTGTTAATATTTTTATATAATTTGCTATGATATTAACTGGATCACCAGCCGTACCTTAAAAAAAATAAGAAGAAGATTTAACAACACAAAAAAAAAAATCCGAGTAACAGAAAAGATTGAAAATCATTGATTTACCTTGTTTTTCCGTTGCTTGTGGTTGAGGTTCAGAGATATTTGAATAAGGTATTGATCGAGAACTTGATCGACCACTACTTGAACCAAGACGCATTGTTGCAAATTCAGATGTTATACCTTTTACACCACTACCACGAGGAGCTCCTAAAAATAAAATTTCAATAAACAAAAATAAATTTTATTTTAATTATTAATAATCATACCTGGCATGACTTTTGGTGGATTTCCACGACGAGGTTTTTCGGCTCGAGATTGCTACATGAAATAATACATCAGAAAAGAACAAAAAAAAATTTCTTTTTTTGCAAACCTCATCAGAAGGTATAACTTCACTAGGATGTTGTGGCATATCACTTATTTCACTTGATTGGGAAATACATGATGCTGTTTCAGTGTCTGTATAATCTTGTAAACCACCTGGTGCATCATTGTCTTTTGATTGTATTGGTCGAGCTCGACCACGTCCTTAATTAGAAATCTATATTGTTAAAAAGTAAATGAAAATAATGAATTACCTCGTGATTTGCCAGTTGAGGACATTGTGATGAGTTAATAATAAGAAAAGAAAAAAAAAACTTCCGATGTTTGATGGAATGATTTGATCTATGATAAAAAAAGTATAGATTGTATTCTATTTTCAGTTGAATGTAGAAAATCTCGAGAAGAATAGAATGTATAAAGTTGGTTTTTAATTTCTAGCCAATGGTTTTATGTAGCGATAGCAAAAAAAATCTTTATTTTCAAAAACGAGACAAACATAATTAATTAGACACGTATTCTTTATTAATCGACTTGATTATCTCAAAATAATCAAAGAATTTTGTAGAATATTTTTTCTTCTTTCTTACAACGGATAGAATTTTAAGATTTAGTAATCAAAATTTTTCAACTCTTGTATTTATTTATTTTTCTTATTTGAAAATAAGAATTAATAAATGCTAATTTCAAAGACGAGTATTTTCTAATGAATGATTTGAATTTAAAATATCGATTTTGTCATGAAAACACGAACGTCGAAAAAAGATACAAAATCATTTGCAAAACGAAACAATCTTTCAGAATCTATAATAACTTTTCTTATGAGAAATATTTTCGTAATCTTAATTAACATAGCTCTGATTGAAAAAAAAAGAAAAAATAAGAATAAGGATGATTGACTTGATACACAACGAAACGAAAAAAAAAGCAACAAAATTTTATCATATCTACAACACAAAAAGAAACCTTTAATAAATTAAAATTGAATAAGATTATCTACGAAGAAAAAAAGAAATATATAAACCCTAATAAATCTTATTACAAAGCCAAGTAATGCATTTCCTACAGATAAGTGTTGAAAATAGGCAAGGCAACGTTGGTATAAGACAAATATAAAAACACAAAGCTTCAAAAACCAAAACGTGTAAGTATGCCGTGGTTAAAAAGACGAATAAAAAATCTATGCTTCAATCGTTCATGCAAAGATATTGTTTCGAGTGTAATGTAACTAAAAATGATTGGATGAAAATTTCACAGAAAATCAATCTATTTTTTCTGATTCTAATAAAAATCGAATCGATTTCAGATGTCAAACGGTTTTCGAAATATCTTCAAAACTAACGCCATCTACGACAGAATTTTGCTCATATCTACAGAATTGTCTTTCGTCAGAAATTAAACCAAAGATTTTTTAAGTCAGAAAAATTAAATCGATTTTTTGTGAAAGCTTCATCCAACCATTCTGAGTTTCACCGGACTCCATAATAATCACATTCTTTTACACCAGTTCACGGACTAATCTCGATCGAATATCATATTTGAAAAAAAAAACAGAGAAGAAAATGATCTCGTTTTATCATTATTATATTTATACGAAAATGTTTCCTTTACGTTTAAATTTCTTCTTGATTAATCAGAAAGAAAGAAAAGGAAAAAAATACCTTAATGGTTATAGATTTGTTTAGATATATTAAGGTGAATAGAATACGGATATTCAGAAAAAAAAATATATAACGCATCAATAACTAAATCATCTTCATATATTTAAATAAATTAGATAAAATCAAATACTTATAAACCTATTGGCTAGTAATTTTTTATTCAATAACTAATGATAACACTAAAACATCATATCAATATTATGTACAGGATGGTATCTAATAGCTTTTATTCAATGACCAATAAGAAACATTTTGCATTCAATACGCCAATAAAATTCGACGCGTTATACCTTTGTAGGGATGTTACACACGAGGTCAAGGTTAGGACAAAAAAAATCTTTCATTTTTTTCAACTTTCAATATCACATAGATTATTTAAAATTTTTTCAAAATATATCATGAATATATGAACAATCGAATAAGAACTAAACTTCTAATCTTTGTCTAAAAAGAAAAGCAGTTTATTTTGTTTTTCGTTGGCATGTCATTTCAAGGGATTTTATATTTGACAATATTCTTCTACTGTGAAATTGATTTAACAATTTCATGTAAAATCATTAAAAAAAATCAGATGATTTTTAAAAAAATCGATGACATTTGCCAGTTAAATATTGATTCCATTTGGCTAATCGTCGTTTTGATATTAAACGAAAACTATTTAATATGAAATGAGAAGATTTAGAGCGTAGACCATGAAATGATGAAGATATTGACATTTTATTATTATTATTATTAATTTTTCTGGAATGTTGTTGAAGATATTGAGAACTGAAATTGAATGTATGAGAATTGTTTGAAATAATTCATTATGAAAATATAAAAAGGAAATTATAGAAGTAAAATTTACTATTGAATAGTATCGATCGTATTTTTATTGTCATTCGAAGAACTTTGTTGAGGTTTATCGGTCGAATAAGTAGGTGTTAAAATAAATTCAATGGATGTTACACTTGGAGTTGATATATTTTTAGAAAATATTAATTGATTACTGGCTGATCGAAGATTATTATTAATGGATGGTATATCTGAATATACTCGTGTATCTTTAGGAAATTTATTGAGATATAATATACTCACTCACATTGATCATTTTAAGTTTATTCAAGTCAGGTTTTTTATGCGAAGAAAATTTTTTATCAGCTGTATAAAATTTGATAGGTGATGATAAAGACCGATTAATAACAATATCGTACGATGATGATGAATCGATATCTTCTTCGATATATAAAGAATTTGTGTCTCTTTCATCCATTTCACTCTAATAAAAATACGAGTTTTGTATTGAAGATAAAAATTTGACGTAATATCAGATTGAAGAAGTTTTTACTCGACAATAAAATATGAAAAATTTTATGGGAGATTGATGAAAGCAAAATATTAATAAAGTTAAAATAATATCTATTTAATGAGTTTAATATATTAACGATGTTATATAAGCTTGAAAAAAACTGGAATCTGAATAGATCAAATGGAGAAAAAGTACGTTTCATCACCATTTTTTTCCAGTTGTGAGTTTTTCGTTATCTCTTCTCAGATGCTTCTACACGACACACATAACTCCTCACTCACATTCAACACATTGTTTCCAGAAATGAAATAGCTTAATGTATGATCAAAGCAATTGGTAAATGGGTTGTGTGTATCTGTAGAAGAACTATATATCCATTTAAAAATATTCTTTCCTATGTTAATATTATAGTAGTTATATTACTTGTTTTGTACACTATACTTTGGTTCTCGTCTTAGGTCAATAGTACCCTTAACTAATTGATCCGATTGACAGTGGAAAACACCATAGATTGAGGCTTAGTGCTGGAACCTGTTACGTCTAAAACTTTCAGACTCAGATCCACTGTTTGATCCAGGTTTTTTTTTCTTCGGAGGGGCGATTCGAAATTTCGGAAGGACGAAAAATTTTTTTCGGGAGAGCAAGCCATATAGTTCGTCGCGCGATGATCGTAAGTGTCGTGAGAGCGTCGTCCTCTCAGGCACCCCTCTGGATAAAACACTGCTCGGATCCGGTTTATTGAATTTTTTTGGATCTGATGAAACCACACTTTGATACTCTCAATGAAATTTTCTAATCGAAATTGGATAGTCATCCTCAAAGGTACTTTTTTCCGGTTTTTTTTGGATTCAGTGATTAGCGCACTCTACAGATTTCTCAGACTATCAGAACCCATCAGGTTCAAAATTTCCAGTAGTGTCCTGCACGGGTACGACTTTTTGGACCCGGACCCGGATAGCTGTATTGGCTACCCGATCAGACCCGATCCGATGCTAATCACTATTCGCCAAATAATTACTTTCACAATCCTAGCACAACTTTCAAACTTTTACTTCGTATGAAAAAGTATACTGTTTAGTCTCTTGCGTAAACAGGAATAGGGTGTTACTTAATCTTTATCTTTATAAAATAAAGGTAAAGAAATTCTTTATTTTTGGAAAATAAATATAAATGAAAAAAAAAATCTTTATTATTTAAAAACTAAAGATCAATGAAACCTTTATATTTATAAAATAAAGAATAAAGAAAGATTTTTTTTCTATGATAGGTAAATAGAAAAATATCTAGTATAACAACAGGATATGTTAATCAATATTCTTTGTTATCACCAACATCACTTCGACATGTGATATTATTAAAAAATCAAGCTGATACATAAAAAAATATATGCAAAAAACTCTTCTGTATATTTCATTTTCTTCTATGATACCATATTTTTTTGTGAACTACTTGGTAAAAATTCAAGATTAGATTCTCATAGAAAAAGAAGTTTCATTATTATTTATTTTACCTTTATTTTATAACAATAAATAAGAAAAATCGTTATCTTTATCTTATAAAGATGAAGATTTTACTTATACTTATTCTTTATTATAAAGAAAAATAATATAAAGTAACATCCCTAAACAGAAACAAAAGAACAAGATCATTTTAAATTGCATCAAAAGATAAGTGAATCAAGTGATTCAGGATTCGCTGGATATCTTTCTGCTTATAGAATACGATCAATTTTACTAATTATACGTTTGCTACATGCTGATGAAGCTTAAATGGAACGTTGTGTTGATGCAAACGACGCACTCATGAATACATAGATGAATGCTTTGTCCAATACGAAAACGTACGTTCAGTTTTTTTTATAGTTCATTTTCTTCTCTATGATTCAACTATTTTGTCGAATGATTCCTTATTATCTGTAGATGAATTTTTATTAAAAACTAATTCTCTTATTAAAACAATATTGCTTTCCGCTTCTGTGATCTGTTTTCAAGTACCATTAGTTATTCAGTCATGATCGAGTCGCTTTCTAATGCTATGCTTTTAAATAAATAGCAGTTTGAAAGAGTAAGAATATTTTAAAACGTCTAGATCTGATTAACTACCGGGTCGAGTACCGAGTATGATCTCAAATGTGTACCCGACCAGAAAAATATTTTTCATACTCAGTACCTGACCCGACCCGGCGGGTTTGTATCGGGACCCATGCTCCGGGTCGGATCAAGTGCCAGGTACTCAACCCAGTTCTGGAACAGTAGTTGTTAAGCAGATGCTAAAATTTTTTCCACACTATATAACTCACAAATGTTTGTGTTACATCTACATTTGACAATTTATTTGTAAATGGAATATTTCCAGATGTTATCATGTGACGACGACGATTGCAACTATAATTACTTTTCATCTTTTATTTTTTCATTCAGAATTTCATTTTACTTATATGATGAAACGAAAGTTGATTTTATTGGTAATAGTTTCATATATTGATTAGAACTAATTAAACTAAACCAATATTCTAGTTTTCTCCAGATTTGCATTCGAAATCTTTCAAATGTATACATCGATCGAATCCATTGATGTTGAAACTAAGAAAAATGAATCAATAAAATTTGTTTGTTTTTTTCTTGTCTTAAAATATGAACAAATTAATTCTTTCTAGTAATTATTAAATAAAACAAAATAAATCTTTTTTGTTTTTCAAAATCCACCCTATAGTTTCATACTCGTTTGACAATTAATAATGATTTTTTATTTTGATTACTGTTTACTTCTGACGTAGTTAATTTTCTTGCATAATAAACAATCATTATTCCCGATGTTACAAAAACAAATCTTGAAACAATTGTATTAACACAAAAATAAGTCGATTTCGACCGACCACCACATAATGCTAAGAACATGATTGGTATATAAAAAAACGGTGATAAAATTAAAATTTGTAATCGATTTTCTTTCATTGATCGAAATTTAAAAACAAAAACAAAATGAAAAATAAAATGAAAAAGAATTTGTTTCCTGGTTACTCTGTTTTCATTTTTCCACAAATAAAATGTACATTGTATCTAAACAACGAACAGAAATAAAAAGTACGGATATACAAAAAACAAAAAAAAAACCAGTAGATATTCATAGAAGATTCATTCACTGTCGTACAAATAGCAGGCGGAACAATAAATACATTAGTTTATTTCTTTTTTTTTTCCTTTTTTTCTTTTTTTTCAAAACATAATCGGACAGAAAGACAAGAATATAAGTTCGCAGAGAGGAATGTATATATGTATGTGTTGTTATAAACACAAATGAGAATTTGCACCGAGTTTATGCCAATAAAGAATAAAAATTAAAAAAAAAAACAAACGTGAAACAATTTTATCATGATACTTCAGCATTAAAACGTCGATGAATTGATACAGGTGTTTTTGGTACACCAAAATGTATTGATAAACCAAGTAAATCATCTTGATGTGTACGTATTAAACATGGTTCTGATTGTGAACGTTGTATACATGGAAATATACATTCAAATTTTGATAATGTATCATCAATCTTAAATAGTTAAACATAAGAATATTTTCAAATAAAAATTAAAAAAAAAAAACAAACAAACCTCAGGTGCGAAATTAGGTCGTTTTTCATGATCAAATTCTGTACATTGTCGAATAAGATTAGTTATAGCTGTTGGTGTATCATCACGACATTGTTCAACTTTTAATTTTAATCTTCCTTTTCCAACAAGCCACATTATCTATTCAAAAAAAAAAATACAAAAGAATTATAAATAAGAATGATTCAAAAAAAAAAAGTAGAATCTAACTTGTTCTTTATTGGTTATTGGTGTATGTGGTAATTTTTCACTAAACATTTCAAATAAAACACATCCATATGCATATATATCAGCACTTGTGGAATAACAATTAGGATCTTTTTGTTGAATGACTTCGGGTGCCTTTTGAAGAAGAAAAAAAAACAGATTACAATTGATTATTAAACAAGAAAAAAGACAAGAAGAATTTACCATCCAAAGTACTGAACCAGTTGGTTGAAATTGTTGATTAACACTCTCAGTAAGTACAGTTTTAACAGCTGCTAAACCAAAATCACCAATTTTAACACGACAAGAAACTGTAACATCATCTGGTTCAGAACACATATCCAAAAAGACATTACTAGATTTAAGATCACGATGAATTATTCCACGATCATGTAGATATCTTTTCATATAACAAATATATGTGTATATATTGCTCTTCTTTTTGTTAAATTAAACTTACGACATTCCCTGACATATTTGTCTTGCTATATCAATTAATTGGTTTATTTTCCAATGACGATCAAGAACATGAATATGTTTATAAAGTGTTGAACCCTAGATCAATTCCGACATATATTTCATGAAAACAAAACAAAAAGAAAAAAAGAATAACCCTTACTTCACACCATTGTGTGACAATAGCAAAACGTGGTGAAAGAATATAACCATAAAAATTTAATGTATTCTGATGCGTAATTTTTCTAAAAAAAGCAAAAAAAAATTATATTAAGTAATGAAAAATTTTTACGTATGAATAAACAAACTTCAATGCAATAACTTCATTTCGAAATGCTTGAAATTGACTAGGTGTTGGTGAAACAAAATTGAGCTCTTTAAGTGCAATTAAACCTATGAAAATAATTTTTGTTGTAACATTACACAAAAAACAAATTTCTTTTATTATTATTTATTCATACCATGTAATCGTACTTCAGCTTTATAAACAGTACCATATGTACCTCGACCAACCATACGTCCACGATTGAGTAAATCTTCTGCTCGAATTTCCCATTCACTGATGTGTTTCTGGTTTTTTTTTTAAAATTAAGTTCAATTTTCTTTCGATATAAAATGTTTAATTATACTTACATGTGGTTTTTTTATATCAATAACACTATCACTTGATGGTTTGACCATACTAGGTCGAAGAGTTTCTGTACTAGTGATAATTGGTCCATTAACAGCTGTCAACAAATACAAAATAGATTAAATTAAAATAGTATGCATTCAATAGGGAATTTAAAAAAAAAACACTAGGTGACGATAGACAAAAGGAAAAGAACCGCGGTGGAAAAGCGCAAATAAGCATATATCAACATGTATAACCACAAATGAAAAAAAAAAAGACCATATATACTGAGAAATACACGCCCAGAAAAAAGCGCTTAGCATGTCATAAGATGTGACGGTGATTTAAATAAATCTTACTAAGTAACGACTGAGGCATATGATGTATATGTAATGCCGATGATGGCAATGATGATGTTTGTTGAAAGAGTGAATTTGATGATAGTGATGATGATATATTCACTGTTGATTGCATAACATTCGAACAGTAACCAACATTTGATATTGTTGGTACTGATGAAATACCATGTGAATCCTGACTGATATCTTTTTGTGAACCTATCAACGAATATTAACACAAACTGTTTCATTTTTTTTTTGTTACAAGTATTCAAAGAGAAGAAAATGAGTGAAATGAAAATACATTAACAGATGAAAACAATAAGTTATAACTCCATGATACCCATCATACACACCAAAAAATTAAAAAAAAAAGATTTTTATGTGTATAGGTTTTTATAAAAGCAAATCAAAACTAAAAAAATTTTTTTTTTCGATCTACCTACGCCGCATACACAGTAACAGCTGCAGAGACGGCCAAAAATGCAATATAGACAGAGGAGAAAAAAAGGAATACAACTTTAACAAATATAATATAGGTATATACATATAAACAACTGCTTACCAACTCCATGATTTGTATTTATACTTGATCTCTATAATAAAAGTTTGGATTATTTTAGAAATGAAATTAACAAAAAAATAGAGAACAAAATAACTACATACTGGTAATGGAAAACGAGGTAGACTACGTGATGGTTCTTTATTTTTTGTTGGTGTTGTTATTCGTTCTATATCAAATCTATTCGAACCAGGATGTTTAATATGTCTATTAAAAAAAAATAAAACAAAACAAAATATTAAATAAATAAAATTTTTGTTTTTAAAATTTGATATAAACAACACATACTGAAGAATAGGATGAGAACAAATAGGTGCTTTCATATAACAATGATTATGATAATTATTTCGACATGAAACACAACGTTTATGAGTTCCGCGGATACGTTGATGACAGACAACACAACGAACACCAAAAACATGAAAGCGAGGTGTTGGGATATTTTCCTAGAGATATTTAACATACACATACATCAAAAGCTTTAACAATAATAAAAGCACAATAAATAAAAATAAGCGATATATTTAGAGAAAAATACCGATAAAATATATCTCGTGGTTCAAAACGACATGAATGAGATTTACGAATACATCGAGCATGTATACGATAACCGCATACAAGACATCGAAGTCCTTGGAATAGTAATTTATGACATGCGTCACAATAAGTTAATGTAAAAAATGTTTTTCGAACCTATGAAAATATTTTCTTTGTCTATCTAATTAATTTTCTAACTTAATACTTACAAATGAATGATCAAGTTTTGTTTTTTCTTCCAGTTCAATTTCAGTTTCAAGGACACGATCAAGAGTTATATCCCATGGACATGGTTGCCTTTTGATGAATAAAACAAAAAAAAAATGTCTTCTTTTTCAAAAAAATATTTAAATGAAAATTACCTTGATATCATATAAACTGGCGTATATTCTCGTAAATTAGTTACGGAATGTCGTGACGCCCGTGATTCAAGTGCTACTTCAAGTGTTTCATCATTACGTGGTGCAAGCTTAAATACATATATTAATTTTAAAAAAATGAGACAAATTTACTTACAGCTGTTGTGTGTTTATTTGGAAAATGAACACGAATAAAATTACTTGGTGTCATACTTGGACTACGAGATCGTTGATTAAAATAATTTGCTTGTTGTGATAAAATATATGTTGTTATTGGAGGTGATGATGGATAAATATGATAATGTTTTTGTTGATCATTTAATGCTGAATAATCATTTATATGTATATCTTTTGAATTTGTTTGAATTGATGATATTGATAATTTATGTTGTTGAGGAGATTTTTCTAATGGTGAATATTGTAATTGACCATTTATTGTTGATACATCATTTATTGATGATGTATATGCAAATACACTGTCAATATTTTGATCTTTAACTTCATGAAGATATTCTGTTAATGTATCACGAGCTTTTGTTAATATATCAATACGATCAGTTAAACGTTGAAATTCCTTAATAAAAGAAAAACAAAGAAATAATATGCATATATATATATTTTTTTTTTAATTTTATTTATTTATTTATTTTCTTACTTGCATATAAAAAGGTGGTCGTGTTTCACGAAATGCTAAATTATAATTATTAACATCAGCTGTAAGATGTTTTAACATTTTCATTAAATCATCTAATATTTGTCGACATTTTTTTGGATCAATATCACGTTTTGCTTCTTCAATTTTTTCAAATATCATTCGACGAAAACTATCTTCTTGATTATTTATTGGTGATGCTGAACGTGGTGGCGATGATGTTGATGATGTTGATGAAGAAGATTTATGATGCAGCGACTTACATGTATCCATTGGAACCGTGCTGCTATTACCGTTTGTCACACGATTTGCTTGTAGAACCATAGCCATGAGAAACAACGACGACAACTATGTCGATCGAAATTCACAATGCCTATACAAGAAAAAAAAAATGAGAAAGATAACAAAAATAAAAGGAAAAAAGAGAATTAAATAAAATTTTTTACCTTTACATCGAGGCTTTTATTCATGATGTCAGTGAAGGATATCTATTTACACGTATATATATATATATATATATCTAAAACAAGAATCGAAAAGGGAAGTCAGTATGAATAAGACCAAACATCTAGGCATGCTATAATAATATATAAAATGCTTATTATATAGTTTCTCCTTCTTTTTTTTTCTTTTCGTACTTACTTGCTCGGGCATTTTTTTTTTTGTTCTCTTTGTCTAGTTTAGTTTTGAGTGATAGAATGTGTGCATATGAAAGAAAATAAAAGCAAAGAAAGACCTAGAATATATGCAGATGTTTAAAACAAATTCCGTGCATATCTTTTAAGTGTTAAAAAGAAGTAAAAAAAAATGAAAGAGAAAACAGTCGGTTTGATGAAGATCGATAAAGCATACTTCCAGAAAAGTACTGTCGCCGTTATTTCCTTCCTTTTCCTTTCTCAAATATCCAAAAAGGTGTGATGCTTATATTGTACTTAAAACTACTGTGACAGATTTCTTGTTTCAGTTCTATATAGTACGAACATATTTTTTTCATCAAAGTGATTAAAATATATGCTCAACAATCACTATTTAATAATTCAAAATTTCATCCGAGAAAAAACATACACACACACACACACACATACAAGTTCATTGTTATTATATAGAAAACATTAGCACTATCAAAAATGATTAAATTCTATTCACTCATATATATATATTTCTCTATAACAAATGTTTTTTTTTCACATATTTATTCAACTGCGTTGTTTTTCTTTGCAGGATCCAATTTTAATTTAATGAATTCCATACGTACTAAAATATATATATATAAATACACATACATATGATCTGTTATATTCTTGCAATTGCATTTTCTAATAAATACCCATATGTAACGACTTTTTTTCTCATCGACTGTCACACAGTCGCTTTTTTTTCTTCAGTCATTTTTCTGAAACAATTAGTAGTAACTTAGTATGTTTCGTTCTTCTTTACACGCACACAGAGGACAACGACAATTTTTCTCTGTGTCTTTTCTTTTTGTTGCTTCATGCTCCGTTATTTCTCTTCCTCATTTTTCTTTCTTCCTCCCCTTCTTCTTGTTCTTGTTCTTAATTGCATAACCCTCTCGCCATCCGGGTGACGACAGCAACATGTAATAGAACCTTGAACAACTCGAGGGTCGAGCAACAGCAACCATCCAGGGTTTTATATTGATGCTATTGCATACAAAAAAACACAGAACAGAACAAAAAAGAAAACATAGAGTACGTTGACACTGTTGTTATTTTTCTACTTGATGAAGCTAATGATGCGCATATAAGATAGAGAATATTATAAGGTACCTGGAAAAAAAAAAGAATAGTCCATTTTTATAACACACACACAGAACGAAAAGGGAATCAAGGGAAACAAGAATGATGTCTTACTCATAGACAAAACAATGTTCTCTTTATTTTTTTTATATTAATGTTATGTCAACAGTTTTTTTTCTAGTCTATATTCTTTTACGTTGTTTCCGACAAGTGACAATCATATAATAAGATGAGCAGACGCATAAGTAAAAGTTTAAAAAAAAAAGAAACTAATCATGACTTTTAAAAAGGAAATAACAACTCGTGATATAATACAAGAAAAAAAGCATTCATTTAGAAAATGAAAACTCACGTAGATCAGAATATAAATAATAAAAAGAAAAAGAAAGTCAAATATACATAATTAATCTTGATGCTAAACTTTAGTAATTATTATTCATTAAATCATATCACAGCTAGAGAAAGAGAGAGAGCGAGAGAGAGAGAGAGAGAGAGACAGGGAGAGAGACGAAGAGAACAATCAGTTAGTAAAATAAAAAAACTTCATTACCGATTTGTTCAAATACGAAACCAATCCAAGAATAAAATAAATCAGATGGCGCTACCTATTAGTCGTCAATTGTTTGTTCTGTTTTTGTCTTAATCCCATTTCAAATATATTTGCTATGAACAACACAATCATTCGTTTCACTATTGTTTGAATAATAAATATGAATACACCAGCATCACCACCAAAAACAAGCGCACGTCGTCAAGGTTCAAGTGATAGAACAAGTAGTTCCTATGATGCTCTACGGTTTTTACGTACAACAAATAAATGGGGTGAGCAATTTGATTCGAATACTCTTGAAACAAAAAATTAAAAATATTATATGATTTTTAATTTTAAAGATAAAGATTTTTTACCACCAATATGTCCATCACGTTTTTCAAATCATAATGATTTTGAAAGAGCTTTACAAGATTTTTATTATGAAGTTGTTGATATAATGCCTGAATATGTTCATCGTGTTCGTAAAGCTTGTCGTCTTATATTTGATGATTTAGTTCCACGTTTACGAAAAAATCGTTTTGGTATTGTTCTTAATGATCCAATTTTTTGTGATACTTTTTTTGAAAATTTACAAGTTGTTCATATTCAACGTATTAATATACTTATACCAATTACAATTCGTCCAGTAGAAAAAGAACGTTTAGATAAAATTGGATATGTTTATTTGAGAGTACCCGGTCCTGTTAATGATGAAGAATTATCACGATATGATCCATGGGGTTTTATGAGATCACGAAAAGATCGACAATATCTATCACCAGCTGTACTTGTTCAATTAGTTCAATCACTTATTGAAGAAGCATTAAAAGATCCATATCCAATAGAATCTTTTACTCTTGAACCACTTGATCTTGATCATGAAGGTGCAGTTATTCGAATTCGTCATGAAGAATTAATGTTTACGATATGTTTATCATTTGGTGTTAAAATAAAAAAAACTGATCCATATTTTGTTACAAAACCATACATACTTGATGATTATTTACAATCAAAACGAGCATGGCGTATATCATATATAGAAGCTGAAATGAAATGTTTAAAAGTTCTTCATCGTGCTGATCATTTTCGTCATGCTCAAGCTATTAAAATATTTCTTGCTTTAGTTAAATTAAATCGAATATTTTCTGTATTAAATGAAGATATTATAAAAGCATTAATGGTTTATATATGTGATGATGATCTTATTAATCGAAATTGGAATCGTCGTCGATGTATTGATATATTTTGGTCATTATTTGATTTACTTTATGTTTCAATTGATCAACAAGTTCTTAAACATCCATATTTACCTGAAATGAATTTATTAGAAAGAATTGATCGAACAAAATTAGTACGTTTAAAAAAACATTTAGATTATATAGTTGAACATCAACATGAATTTGAAAGATTTTTTAATCGTCGAATACTTAGTTGTAAACGACGACGTAATCAATCAAAAAATTTATGTGTTTTTTTTGGTTCATTAAGAAATCAGTTAAATAAACGTGGTGGTGATGATGATGATAGTACAGCATCAAGTGATGAAGAAAATAATGTAATTTATAACGAAAATAATATTTGTTATGAAAATATTCAACTAATTAAAAATCAAAATTCTTCAGTTCTTAATAATTTTTAATGATATTCAATTTATGAATTTCTCTCTATTTTGTATTCTTTTTTTTTTTAAATAAATCAACTATACATTGCATATTATTACTTATAGTTCACTTTTCGAACCGACTATGAAAAGAAGTAAATTTCAAGTTACATCAGAAATCGATATTTGCTGATAGGTTAAGTGAAAAATATCTATGTCAATCATATATAGATTAGATCTTGACAACGATTATTTAGTATTTTATCTGTAATTAAATAATCTCAATATAAAATAGTATGCAGCATCGAATACACTGAAACAATAGTTAGAACATAGGGTAATATTTAATATTATCAAATAAATAATCTCATGAAAAATAAGACCATAGCAAAAGAACAACTTCGTGAGCTCGGATGGATCTGAGTCCGAGAATTTTGAACCTGATAAACTCTAGTTGCCTGAGAAATGTGTAGAATGCGCTTGTCATTACATACAAAAAGTCGGAAAAAGTATCTTCGAAACGACTATCCAATTCCGATTAGAAAATCTCATTGACAGTATCAAAGCATCGTTCGACCAGATCCAAAAAATTCGGACCCGACAAGCTTTACATAATGCTGACTTGAAAGTTGAATACTATTGACTCGACTATTTGAATCAAGTCATTCATTTAAAAAAGTAATAGTTGATAATTTAATACGAAAATCAGTTTCAGAAGAAATTGATGGTTTTCAACAGGAAGAAAATTTATTCAGTAATCTTATTTTTTAAAAAACCAAAATTCATATAAATCTCTTGATAGGATTGCTAGAAAAATCATGTATGTTTTTTCGAAGTTATTTTTTTATGAGATTGCATTTTTCAAATTTTTCACAAACTAATATTTACATTCTCACGTCTTTAGAATGCAATAAGACATGGCTTTAAATATTCATAAATATTTTTTGCTTGTAAATAACTTTACATTTAAGTTTTTGTTTATAAAAAATGACGTTTTTTTTTACTGTCTTATGAAACTAAGTGAAAGAGTACGGTTGCTTTGTCAGCTCTTACTTTGTTGATAAGGCTAAAATAGTTTTGTTATTGTATTTTATGTATGACTATTTTTATTTTGTTGTTATTGTGCATAAAAACTAGTCACAAGATATCATGTGATGAAAGCCTTGTTTTTAATGTACTTTGTGAATACAGGCAGAATACGAAAAAAAAAATGACAAAAATAACTTGAATCGAAAGTGCGTTGATATGCTGTCTATTCCTAGAATGACAATCATTTCAAGATAAATTTTATTTTTCCTTATAAAGATTCGATCGTTTTTTTTTGTTTTTAACTTGTTGGTATTCTCAAATATCATATTTGAGTTTAATCCTACATCTCAAATATCGTATTGATTTATTTCTGCAATAATATAATAATAATATCGGTTGACTGTAGTTTGGACTAAAAATTCTATGAGAATATTCCATTAAACAAAAGCCAATTTGTGTACATTGAATAAAAATAGTATTGGAATCAATTTGATATTTGATAGTTGCTGTAATCTATAATTAGTTTATGTGAATTATCAATTTTGACTCGTTTTTTTTTCTCTTAAAAGTACAACTCAAGAAAAAGAAAATAAACATTTGTATTTCAATATGTAGTTTTCGATTGTCTAAGTTAGATTTCAGTTTTCAACCTATTTTTCTTGTTCTTCATATAAATAAATTAACATTTGTTTTATAAGAAAAATTAACAAATAAATAAAGTATTTAATTCAAATTAATTTATCATTAAATAAATTTTTGAGTCAATAAACTTATCAAATAAAATCTCTTATTCATATGAACTAAACCAAATCTTATTCTGCGTGCAGTATATATTTTCTTTTTTATTGACGTTTTTCTTTTTTTAACGTTATTCGTTTGATAATGGAAGAATAGACAGAAGAAAAGAAAAAAAGGATAAACAAAAGGCAAGAAAAAAAAAAGTGAGGTGTCTTAATAATGTTGGTCATCTGTAGAAAATTTTCTGTTTTGTTCAAATATATGCGTTCTCTCTCTCACACGCTCACTATATATATATATATATAAAATCAGAATAGAGTGTGCATGTATAATAAAGACAGTAAATCGTACTACATGTTTATAATGAGATAGAAAAAAAAACAGACGAAAGAAGAAAAAGATAAATCCAATCGATGATAGACTTTTTTTTTATAAGCACACTGTGTCATAAATAGGGAAAAATGTAAAGAAGAATAGAAATGAGCACAAACCTGAGCAGTTTGATTTTGCTGTTTGGCTTTATACAGACACACACTCACACATACACACAGAGAAACTCATACATTAGGGTACTTTTCTTTCTTCGCGCATGTACAAAAAAAAAACGAGAGGAAAAAATTGATGTGTATAAAAACACAAAAGAAAAAAAAAAGAATATTTTTTTTTAAAGAATTTCTTCACTTGAATCCATTGGCTGTATATCTTGAAGGGAACTTTGGGATTGCATTTGACTATTATCATCTTCTGTAACAGATGATGCCATATCTTCCATACCAAGTAAAAGATCTTCATCTTTTGAATAAAATTTATCAGCATTTTCTTTTAATTGATTATTGGCACCTTTAATAAAAAAAAGAAAATTGCATATCTATATTAAAGAAAAGATTCATTTTCTTTACCTTTTGGATCAAGATCCATACTCCATGACATATACATATATGAATAGTGGAAATTTTTTAAATGTCGATGAACCTTAAATCATTGAATTATATTTTATAATTTTGTTAATTAATTAAACTTACTTTACTAAGTAAATAATAGACAAGTGATTCTTTAGGTGCAATCTGCCGTAGTTCTTCAAGTTCAATTAATGCTTCTTGATATCGTTCAAGATGTAATAAAAGACCAGCTCTACAGAATAAAACAAAACAAAAAAATGCAACAAATCATTAAAGAAAAATTCAATCAATTTACTTATGAAATTTGCATAGAGCATTTTTTGAATCAATTTTAAGTGCATCATTAAGTAATGTTAATGCACTTTCGGACCGATTACATTTATGTTGAGCCTAATATAAAAAAAAATAAAAAAAAATAAAATAAGAAAACAGTAATAAATTTTGTTTTATTTTTATATACCACTGCTAAATGACAAATAAGATCAGGATTTGTACGAAATATATTAGTTGCTTTTGTAAAATGAAATTCAGCTGATTGAAATTTTTCTTGTTTTAAATAAACCATAGCTACACCATTCCTATTCAATAGAAAATAAATTTTGAAAAAAAAAAAAGATAAGGAGATATTTTAAAAATCATTTTTTTACCAAGCTTTATAACTTCGTGGATTTAATTGTATAGCTTTACGAAAACATGCCATAGCACGTTCAAGTTCATCAATAAGTGAATATTCATTTCCCAATAAAGTATATGCATAATCAGATTCTGGTGCCAATTGAATAGCACGTTTAAATGCTTGTATCGCTTTATCATATTCATGATTAAGACTAAGACAATTACCTGATGCACACCAACTCTATTTAAAATAACAACAAAATATATATATATATATATATATATGTATAAAAGGAAGTTATTAATCATTTTTTTCTCTCTCGACATTTCGAAATTTGATCTTTGAAAATAGAAAAAAAATGTATATTTCAAGTAAACAAAGAACAGATGATTAGATATCTTTTTTTTTCATCTTTGTTTCAAAATAATGAAATTTGATCTAGTCTTTTCAATCGAGCGTTGTTTGAAAAAATTATCATTGATTCATTTGTTAGATTTTTCTCTTGATTTCATACGTGTAAAGCAAAAGAAATAAAACATGGCGACTACTACACCAATTTTAACTTCAAATACAATAAGTTCTGATGAAATATTGTCAGAATCAAGTCTTACACCAACAAATGATACAAATAAATCAGAAATTGATAAATTTATAACAAATTTTTTATTAATTATATTTCCATTATATATATGTGCTATTTTATTGAATTTTTTATCAATTTATTCAATACTTATGGCAAAAATTTATCGTCAATATTTATCTAATGTACTTTTGGCAGTTATTTGTATTGGAGCATTAATTAATTTACATGGTCTAATGTTTTTAATACTTTTACGATGGACAAATACTTCATCATCAACTCAACTTTGTTCGTCATCACTTTATGTTCGTGATAATGGTTCAATTCTTATTTATACACATGTTTTACTCTTGGCATTCGAACGCATTCTTGCTAATTTAAAAAAACATCCAACAAATCTAAATAATAAACGTATTCAAAAAGCTCATCTTTTTCTTATAGTTATGTCATTAATAAGTATTATTCTTTCATTAACTGTTCCAATTTATACATTAACTCGTTCATCTTTTTCATCGATAAATGGTTTATGTACTCCAGATGAAATCGAATCTTATAAAAAATATTTACATTGGATTTATTATGGTTTTGGTCATTCATTTGTATGGTCATCATGTATTTTACTTACAATATTTCTTATTCGAAAAACAACAATATCTTATTCAACATTAATTCCAATGAATAGAATTATATTAATAATTAGTTTTTCAACTTGTATTAATCTTTTAATAAGTACATTATTTGATGATATTATTGGTATTGGTGATAAAAAAATATTAGATACATTAGATGGATCTTCTATAACAACAATCTTTTTGATGAATTTACGTGATTTCATTTCAATTATAGATAAAATATTAATTGGATTATTATTTTTTCTTTTTCGACCAGAAATTCGTTTATGGTTATATGAATCAATGAAAAAATTTCAATTAAATAAAAATGAAACTATAATACCACAAAGGTTAGAAATACATAATGTAATAGATGATAATTATTATGAAACAGATGATGGACAACTTCATCCTCCAGCAGATATTTAGATGAATAAAGAAAGAAAGAAAAAAAAACAAAACATTCAATCATTTTTTTTTTTGTTTTTTTTTGGATCTTGTTTAAATAATTAAATAAATCATACTTACAGCTGGATGTTTTCGATCTGTCTCAGTTAACTCATGTGCTAATGTTGCTAATGCAATATCATCTTTTAAATGCCAAAGAACTGTACTGTAATATTCTAAACCATCAATATGATATGGAAATTTAGTACGTAGTTCTCGATAAATAAGTGAAGATTTTTGATAATCATGTAAATGATAATAACAATTAGCTAAATGTGATAAAACCCATGGTGTATCAAGATGTTTTAATGAAATTGATTCAAATATTTCAATTGCTTGTCTACATTCAAATTGAGATAAATGTTGTAAACCTTGACCAAGTAATTTAAATACATTAATAATATTTTCAACAATTTCTATAAGAAAAAGAAAAAACTTAATTCATAAAATTTTAAATAAATAAACAAACAAACCAGGTGTACGATGATGATTTGATTGACTTTTTCTTTGTCGATCACGTTTATTAATTAATTCATTATCAGTTGCATAATTTAAACTTGTATTATTTGATCGTACTTGTGATCTAGTTGTCATTTTATTTGGTGATTCAGTTGGTGCTATAGGTGTTGTTATACTCATATCTGTACATGGTGGACGTGTTGTTGGTTTTGTAAAACGTGTCGTACGTTTAGTTGGTGCACGAATAGATTTATTTTCCTGTGGTAGAAAAAATAAAAAAAAAAGATTTTATTATAAATTAAAACTATTTCTATATACTTTAATATCATTGGAATTTGGAGTTTGCGTACGACTTCCGACTGTACTACTTGGAATTCTAGAGGAAAATATTTTGTTTTTTGTGGAAAGTCAAAAACAATGACATATGAGATTTTTATTCCTACGTTTTTGATTGAACAAGGATATTATTTGAGGTAGAAAGAACATGAGATTGACCGATTATAGTACGACGAGTTGTCTGAGAATAGAGAATTAGATATTTCGATTTTAATTTTATAGAGAACGAATCGATTATAAAAAATATTTCTTTCTTATTCTTTCTTAGTATTAATTTGAATGATAGAAGACAAAAAAAAACAAACTTTAAACTTACTTTTCGTGTGCCAATAGTTTTACGTGTATCACTAAGAGATGTTGACGCAAGTTCATGTGGATGTATAAGTGTTGCTGTTGATGCTGAAGCTGTTGTATCATCAAATCCATATTGTTGTCTTGAGAGGAAAAAAAAGAACAAATAATATTAGAAACAATCAATTAAAATGTTTTTTTTTTTTCGTTTATCTTACACATTTCGAGTATTTTGTCGTTTGGGAGCTAATGGTGGATTACGTAATGATGGAATATAATCAGGTGGTTTTATAGTTGGTGGAGTATATTTATCATTATCTTGTAATTGATCAGTAATTAAACCAATTGGTGTTGATGTTATTAAAGCAGAAACATTTGTTGAACCAACATTAAGAATAGAATCAGTTAATTTCATGATAGTTGCAGGTGCTTGTAATGAACGTGGTTGTTGTCGTTCTCGTATTGTTTGATTGGTACTTGTATTCATTGACTAAAAAAATAAAAAAAATAATGAAAGTTTTAAAGAACAAAAAAAATTTTTTTGTTTTTTTTTTTCATTTTGAACGAACATTATCAATAACTTGATTTTCACTTTGAATATCTTTTATTTGTTCTGTATAAGGTGTGACACATATATGTGGTTGATTTAATTCTGAGATTGATCGATTAGATTTTATAGCAGATGAACAAAATATACTTGTATCAACACGTTCACCTATAATTAAATATATGAATTTGAGATAAAAATTATAAAAAATGAAATGATGATAAGTTTAGTAGACTATAATTATAGTTTTTCACAAACTGATTATTCATCTAAGCTTGATAGTTGTCGAGTTTGTGGTTATTGCATCATGTATTATGCGTTTGTGTTTCTAAAAAATGAGTTTTCGTACTTTCGGAGTTTTAAGTCCACTCCCATCAAGAAAAGTCAATTTTCGTTAGGCACATTGAAATTGAAATGAATGCATGGGAAGACAGTTTGGGGCCTGCTCTTTCCTCAGCGACATGGTTTTTTATTTGGCATCTCATTCTGTTTGCGAAAATTTTCGATGATTTCTGTTACATTCTACTTGAAAAATGTGCTTTTTTCGTTTTTTGATCGCGCAACCCAGAATTCTCTATAGGCTTTCATTCTATATTTTTAGCTGTTTTTGCTTGAAAGAGCGTGTCAAGATGCAGATCATTCGAGCGCTATGTTTTGAGAGTTTTCGAAATATTGCGCTTTTCTCCTTTTACAAGAAAGAGTCTCTGATACGCTCTTTCAAACAAATAAAAAATTAAGTATACAGAATGAAGGCCCACAGAGAGTTTTCGTTTGTCAAACGAACTATTTTTGGCTATTGAATATCTCCCGAAAATGTCGTGATATAGGGCTGAAAGTTTTAGTATAGCCTTTCCACTATAGCCCTAACATATCCTGAAAATTTCATGAGATTTGAATGTACCTGGTCCAAGGTCGATTTTTGCAGGAGAGAAGTCTTAAATCATCCTTTCGGAAGAGAAAATGTGAATAAAATACTGTACTTATCATTGTGAAGACTGATTTGTTTATCTAATCGAGTAACGAGTTTGAGATTATGTGGTTTTTAATAGTGAAACGTGTCAAAGATCGACAACAAGTTGATATTTTCTCAGTGACTTCAAAAGAGTAAAACTCTATCTGATATTTCGTATTACGTCAAATACATCCTTGTATTCCTTCAATTGTGCAATAGAATTTCCGAGAAAATCTACAAAAATCTTTATTTGTATTATACTGTCAGAACTAAATTCTCTTACACAGTCTATTAAAGGTCAATAATGAACTGTAATTATGAGATTCTTAATTTTTAAAATACCTACCAAGACGACATAGAGCTTCAAAAGAAGACCATAGAAAAGGATTAAGTTTTAAAGATTTTCGATAACATTCACTGGCTTTTTGATGACGATCAGATTTTCTATACAATAGAAAGATCAAAACTATAACAAAAATTTCTTAATATTTAAACTTACTCGCAAACTTTAGCAAGTAATTGTAAAGCAAATGCTGCTTGATCACCATGATCATTAACAAAATCATCAAGTGCAAGTGTATTTATTGATAAACAATTTCCAACAAGTATTGATTCAGCTTCATGAAGTCTAATATGAAAACATTAAGATATATATTTCTCATCGTGTTTTTTTTTCTTCTTCTTCTTCTCATACTTACTTATCCGTATCAAAGCAACATTTTGCTAAAAGAAGTTTCGCAGCAGGTACATGTTCAATAGAAGAATTACGTAATAGCCAATAAGATTTATTCACATCACCACTTAAATAATAAGTACGTGCTAATAAATAAGTTGATTCATCATTTTTCACTAAATAACAAAAAATAAAAACATTAATTTTTGATTAAATAATTATTATTTTTACCTTCGGCATAAAGACGTTCAGCAAGAAAAATAGCATCGACATAGTCGAAATTATGAATAAATTGGTTAATATAAACCTTAACAGAATCGATTGCAACAGACATTAAATTGCTCGAAATAGGAAGATAGGAGAAAGAAAAGTATTTAAAAAAATAATGTCTTTGTTGTTTTGGTTTTTTCTTTTTATTGTATCGAATAATCAGACAATAATTAACTGAAACATTGATAATAAAGATTAATCTATTTCTAAAAAGTGAATGAAATATTAAAGTATATTATTTTTATCGATATCACAGTTACAATAAAAGAAGACAAAAAAAAAAACTTTATTATCACCATTTTTTTTTGAATAAAATAAAAAAAAATTGAAAAAGTAAATTTGTTTTTGACTAAAATTAAAAATAAGAAAAAGATCTGCCCATATAAAATAAATGCTAAATATATTTCAAAACAAAATTATCATTTCAATTTGAATCTGTATGTTTTTGTGTATTGATTAACTGACGTCGTTTACGTTCATTAGATAAATGATTACATGCTTGTTGTATATTCATAAATATAATTTCAGCATTTTGTTTTTGTTCAAGATCCTATACATAAAATAATCTAAATATTTGAATAAATTCAAAGAAAAATATATTTACTCGATATCTATCTGGATGCCATTTACGTGATAATGTTCGACATTGAGATTCAATTTCTCTTTGAGAAGCAACATTGCTGAGATTAAGTATCTACGAAACAAGAAAAATAAAAATCATGCAAAAAGATTTATAAAACAGTAACTAGATTTCCAAACAGTTTATCTTATTAGTTTTAAGAGGATAAAAGAAACTTATTTATCCAATATTTAAATTTATAACAAGTGAACAGGTCAAAATGTTTTTGTTCGTTTGTAGAACATTTCCTGATGGATTTAAAGACTTGATTTTAGGTTCATTTGATAAAGAATTTTTTTTATATTCAACGTTTGTTTTTCTTATAAGCATGAAATCTAAAAAGTCACCATCTATTCAATTATCAAACTAAGATCTTGTGTTTTACGGAAATATCTGTCTATTTATCAAAGCATATGTTCCTTACATCTGGTACTAAAAGTAAAATATTTAGTATTAATAGATTGAGAATTTTGTATCTTATGTTGTTACGTCCCTGTCAAGGTTACAAGCGCTATTGTTTCGGAAGAAACAATATGAAACTAACAACAGGTGATGTTTTTACATGTTCTTCAGAAAATCACGTGTTTCAAGAGGTAGGCTAGACATATGAGATGTTTATCACAATGTCACCGGATATAAAATTTAATTCTAAACAAAATGGTGTGATTGTAAAATTATAATTAAAATATTACTCTAAACGGAAATAAACTCTTTAAAAAAATTTCTTGTACTATCAAAATAAAGGAAAAGTCGAGCTCTCTTTTTTATTCACATATTCGAAGTAAGTGATAGATAGAAGCTATGAATGAAGCTTATTGCTCGAACAACTAGAAGAGAAATATTCCTTTTGTTCGAATTTCTCAATTAGAGATAAAAAACATTTCCTTTAATATGTATTAGCGCACATTGATAGATTCTGTATATCTATTTTATTACATTCTAATGATTTTGATATTGAATCATTCTCAATTGATTGGTCCTGTATAGAAAAAGCTGAATCTCTCTTATTCTACCTCAAATGCTTGTTTTTCATTTTTTTCAAAATCCAATATCATCCATAAGCCTTTAAAACCATAATGCGAATAAAACGCCCATAATTGTCTTATAATAATTGATAATTTTTCACGTATTAATATAAATTCTTGTGATTTAAAAAAATCATTTAAAACATCTTTTAATTTAATACGTTGACCTTTTATATCAGCTTGTAAGTTTTGATAGATAGCCGATGTAAATATTGTACTAAAAATGATTGTACCAAATCCAAATATAAGACAACGTTTAATAATATCATATCGTTTCCGTTTTATTTTTTTTGATGATATTAAAAATTGATGATGATCAGATGATTTTGTTATTAATATATTTGAAAAATATTCTCGATTCCATTGAATTTTACGTTGAAAAATCCAACAAGAAAACAATGCTGCGATATTAAATGATGGTTTTGAATTAATACGCCATATTAAAAAAGGCATACCACATATTGCACCTAATAATGGCCAAATAAATGAACATTGTCGTGGCCCAAGTGTACCCGTTATTTGTGTACCTAATAAAACCAAAAAAAAAAAAACCAAAAAAGATTATAATTTATCGAAGTTGAATTTGTCTAACCAAGTGCAACAGCAATAGTACTACAACATCCAATAAATAATGATAAACAAAAATTTTCATGCCATATCTCAGGAAAAGCATAATAAGTAATAAAACCATAAAAAACAGCTGTAAGATATTGTCCTTAAGAATACACAAAAGAAAAACAAACAATAATAAAATAAATACTTTCATATGATTTTTTTTTTTGAAAAATAGATATGTATCTATCCTCGACCGCATTGAAACAATTTAAATTTTTGAAAAAAGAAAACAAAAGAATATTTCAATGTTTCGCTAATAGATTTTTTCGTTAGTTCAATTTTGACTATTTTAAAACTTTTAAATTATTCAAAATATTATACTTAAATTTTGAATAATTGAATAATAGTCATTCTTTTTTTTGTAATATGATTTCATTTTCTTACCACATAATCTTGAAATTTCAAAACTAGGTGATTTTTTTTCTATCATTTTTAATCTATATTCATTAAGTATTAAATAATCATTATTTGCTTCATAAACATAAGTTTTTATTAAAAATAATAATTCATAAATAAAACCAATACCAAATCCACCAAATGTTGTTATCCATAATAAAGCATGTTGAGTACGACCTAAATAAAGATGATGTAAACCATAAAAACCACCAGTTAATGAAAATATATATGTTAATAATAAACTTTTATTATTGTTCATTAATTATCACAGATTAAATAAGAAAATAAATCTAAATATTGAAAATTTAATTTATAAAATAAAGTTGTTAAAATTAAAATGAACAAAAAAAAAGATCCAAGGTGAGAATTATAGCTCGACTTTTTTTTTTCTCTCTCGAGACAACGTTAGAGTAAATTTGGACTAAAATAACCGACTGTCGCTAGAATTTTCGTATAGATTTACATTGCAAGTAGCGATTTCTTCTATGATATTCTTCATTTTTCTTGATTACATACGACATCTGATAATATCTGGAAGCTTAATGCAAATGAAACTAAATTTGAGTAGATGTCACACAGTACGAGAGAAGAGAGAGAGAGATCAATTTAATATTAAGAAATATCAGTCGTAGAATGTCATAAGCTTTATTTTTTTAATAAATTTTAAAAAAAAAAGTTCCACATAAAAGGATGTATATTTTGTAATTGCTGACGCTCAGTAAGAGTTCTGTTGAATATCTCATTTAATTATTAATATGCAAAATAAATGAAATGAAACTATTCCGAATGACTTTTGACGACGACTTTTTTTAATAATGTAGAAACATGAGTTTCCTGTTAATAGAAAAAAAAAGTGAATTCGTGACTTTCGACTTAATATTGAATAATGGTGTTTAAGTCAATAATTTTAGTAGAAAATTTTGACCAAACAATACTACTTACGCTGCATAATTGAAAACTTCTTTCTACCTATGAGGAAAAACAAAGTATTTATTTTTGTCAAGGAGAATATTTTCGAAAGTTCATTCAGTTCATTATATTATGCGATAAAGAAGTAATAGTTTTCAATACATTTTATTACGATGATAAAGGTTCTGATCCAAATTCTATTCGGAAAAGACTTAACAAAGAAACAGAAGATTTGCTATTGAATCATCTATCTTAAAAATTATACGAATAGAAATGTCGATTTCTGCAAAAGTTAATAAGAAATACTATTTTTATTTTTATTTTTATTTTATTCTTTCTACATTAATACTCAAACAAGATTCTTCTAGAATGAAATTTGAAGTTATTCTATATATGATAATTATAAAAATAATCAATATTATTCATTAAAAGATTTTTAATTCATATGTTTCTATTGAAATCATTCATTCGAAGATTATTTCTAATTACTTTCATATAATATGATGGAAATAAGTTTAATCACAACATATTGTTAATTTTTTGTTCTAGAATATTAAGCAATTAGCTCAAATGCATATGGTAATTTTAATAGCCAATGAAGTTTTCTATCTAATGCATTTTATAGCAAGATTTCATAGATGAACTATGATGAAAAAGTTTCTAAATAACCGAATACAATAGTTTTTAGGTTTCAAAAGACTTTGTTAGAACTATATTTTTAACCACGCCATTTCAAAGAGCACAAATGAAAGGTCTCCACATTTCCTACGATTTTTTGTTAAAAAGTTAAAAGTATCACGAAAACCAAAAGAAAGGAGTTTTTTTTTCGTCAATTTTTTGATAAATTTTGCTTGTTCTACGGTTGTTGTCATACTTTTAACTTTTTAAAGAGAAGGTCTTGGAAATAAAAAACTCCATTGACTATTAAAAACACTATCTGGATTTGAGCTATGTGCTTAAAATTATAGAGAAAAAAGTCAATAATACATTGTTATTAAAGTATTTTCCATCACTTTACTTATAGTTTTATAGTAGTTGATATAAAGTTGTCTTACTTTATTTATCATCATTCAATAATGTTTCTCTTATTTGAAAAACATAACATTAATGATATAACATTATGACAATTATTTCTTTTATAATCCTCTCATTAATAATGATTGATTAAAACGGATGACACTTATGATGATCATTTGATCCAAATCGATAAAACCATAAGATTTACTACACAAAATGATCGTTGAAATCAGATTATTAAGCTTATGTTTCTTCGATGATGACTTCTGATATTCTTGATGATGTCATTTCAACATTCATTATAAAATAGTTGATTTCATTCATGAGAAGTTATATGCAAAAAGATTCATTGCATGCTGTGTTTTGTTCAGATTTTCTCTTCCGATAGGATAATTTATAATGCTGAGAGGACGAACATCTAATTTTGCGAACACAGACATATAGTACATGATACAACAACTGTAAATTCGGAGAGAGCCAATCCAATTTTTGGATGGCGCCATCCTTTCGACTCCCACGCTAGATAAAACACTAATTACTTGTGGAGAGAAATTTAAAATTCATTTTGTTGAATTGATTTAAATAATATTCCCAATTTTGCTACATTTGTTTTAACATAAAACATAATCTTTTTTCAACGTCTTAACTTTTCATTAGCTTTGTAAAAAAAGACTGATTGTTGCGTGATTTCGTCTCAAATGAATTCATTATATTCATTATGTATTTTAGGATTTTTATGTATTTTCACATTCATAATAGACTGTAATACAACAATTTAAGTAATCCAATTTTAACTCATGTTACATAACACTGCATTGATGTTCAACATTATCTAACTTTGAAAATCCCAATAGTTAATCCAAATAGAAAACAATAAACAATGAATTCTATTGATCAATACCATTCAAAAAACAAAAACGTAATTGATCATCAATAATTACAAGATTTTTTTATTAATGTAATAAATTGAAACAAAAATCTTTTCTCTTTTACTGCATATAAATATGAAAATAACAAGATTTCATTATTTTATATAGAATAAAGCCTAAGAAAACAAAAAAAAGAAAGAATGATCCCTCTCTCAGTCATACTCAACGAGTCATTTATTATAATCTCTACTTGATAAAGTTATTGTTCATGAAATCTTACAAGTATATAAAAGAATAATTGATTCAACTTAATACTGATCTATAGAATCATTCATATTTCATTTAACGATCAACAATTATTTCTTTTCTCGAAACTTATGATCATAGAGAAGAAAAAGAAATAATTATACACATCGCATCATGAGATGACCATAGTTCATTTTTGATAAAATATTAAATTTGCTCGATTGTAACAAACATTTCTTTTTGATCTACAATAAAACATATACGTACATATGTGTATATTTAAGATTAGAAATCATGAATGGAATTTTAGGAGTGATCAGAGAAGATTGACTCTTGTCGTTTACTTATATTGATGAAAAAGTGTAATGGAGTTTTTTTTTTCTTTCTTCTCTTCATCCGGATCATGACCATCAACTATCCCTTTTATCAAGCTACGTATATATGTGTATGTGTCATATAGTATTAACATATCACGACACGCGAACGCACGCGTAAAAGTATCTTTATATGTATAACATATAATACATATCTATATACATGTATACAGTCGAAGGCGTTTGTTCACGTTTAATTGTAGATTATCATCGCGGCACATGTAAATGAATGGTAGGTTTTGTTCTTCTTGATATCATTGTCATTAAAAAAGAGAAGTGAAGAGAAAAAAAAAAGAAAAAAAAAACTCATTTGTAAAAGGATTACGCCTACATCACAGGCATATTATAAAATATAAATCTATGCGCGAATGACAACGGGTGGAGCTGAAGCTCTGCTACACAAACGAGTTCAAGGTATATATACATTCTTACATACTAGGATACCCTAGGGTCTACCATGTTCTTATTCATTTTCTGATCGAATCTATTCTAAGTGGCAAGTATAGTGGAAGAAGCATGAGAAAAAAAAGTGCACACTACCATCATTATGAAGTATTGTCAAACAAAAGAAATTTAAAGAACATTTGAATCTTATTTATCAAGAATACATTGTCGTCACCACCACCACCGACACTATCGTCATGTAACATACACTCTCGTGTAACAATACATTAGATGTGTGTGTGGGTCCGAGACAATTGTATGCGGTTAAAATTAACAAAACGAGAATAAAAGAAAAAAAAAGTGCCATCGTTAATTGTGCACATAGTTAGTTCGTCTATCTTAAAATAAATATTCCCCTTGAAAGACATTTTTTTTTCTTCTCCTTTCGAAGCCATAGTTAAATAAACATCTAGAATATTTAATCGGAACTGTAAATATCTTTCATGCGATTATACTTATTAGTCTCCTTCGTCCTTCTTCATTTTCTTTTTCTACATCTTCAATTTTAACATAGTAAGACATCTTGTATATATATATATATATATACATACACACACATAAAGCTTTATTAACACTTGACAGTTAGAAATGAATATTCTAGGCGTCTGTCCAGTCAAGTGTGTTAGTACGAATTTTAAGATAGAAAGACATCGTTGTTCAATTTTTAAAAAGTATACATAAAGTCTACTTCATATGTTGTTTTCTTTTGTATGAAAAATAGTAACATACAAGAGAAAAGGTTTAAATAAAAAATGAAGTAAAGACGCGAGAAAAAGACAGAAGAAAGAGACATAGAGAGAAAGAGAGAGAAAGAGAGGGCTACACATAAATATATACATTTTTACTATGCTAACATACATATATAAAATATAGGCAATTTAATACGTATAACCCATTTTGTAAGAATAAGAAGATGATCAAAAACTGTAAATTTTCGCTGCTGGCTAAATAGTCCACTTCAATTTTTTGCTATTTCTACATTTACTATACGTCTATTCAAGGTACTATTATTCATCACCTACTGTCGTTTTACGTATAAAATCTAAAACACGTCAAAATTACATAATCGTTTCAATTTTATTTCGTCGTTTGAACTCGCCATCTTTTCTCTCTTCTCCTATTTTTTTTAACAGTATACAAAGCATTCATTCAACCACACACAAATGACAACACATGCAACAACACCGCTTGATATTCGTCACCCTCCTCATCATACATTATATAGCAATCGAACTTATGCTCGTACAACAACAACAACAGCAGCAACACGTTCATCAATTGTAAATCGACCATTTCATTCATGTTTAAAAAAATTCCCACCTATAAATATATGTGAAAATCTTTTATATGATGTAGCAATAGCTGGTGATATTGGATCAGCTACATCATCATCGTATATTAATAGTAACGAACATTATGATAATACATTTACAAATACTTATGATAATCCAATTCAATATTTTGAAAACGTAAGTTTATTATCAGATTAACAATAAACAAGTTGTTTTTTTGTTTTTCTTTTCAAAATATTGATCTTTATCTTTTTTAGTATCCTTCTAAATCAATTGATATTGTTCAAAAAAGTTTAACTGATCTTCCACATTCTAATGAGAATTTTTATGATCATGCTAAAGACGAGCATGATGATGAAAATTGTTCAACAACTACTGCTCGTAGCACATCACCTGTTCTTTTTTATTTGGAAAATAAAAATTTAGCTATATGTGCATGTATTATCTCACTTCTTTTATTATTACTTATTGGTCTCGGAATTTTTTTATTAAATAAACTTATTCGTCCTGTTATTATTAATACTACAGTAAACAATCATTATGGTATAATGAATATGTCGAATACAACAACAACAACAACAATAACGACAACAACACCAATAACGACAACAACACCAATAACAACAACTACATTAATTTCATCTCGTTCAACGATTTCTAAACCATTCGTAATGTTATTAAGACGATCATCCATCGATATTTTAACAACAACTACTAGCACATTAATAAAAGACAATTTTGATTTGCCTTGTCCACCCAATCGTTGGGGAAGAATATGCCAGTATATGTGTAAACCATGTGGTCTCGGTGTATGCCATCAGACTACAGGTAATTGTATTTGTCCAGAAGATATGTATGGGGAATTTTGTGATTTATGGAAAGGTATATATAATATATTTTTGAAAATTATAATTAATATTGTAAGTTAATTGAATTTAATTTTAGTTAATGATAAACCAAAACGTGGCGATATGATGAGTTGAACTTTATTACATTAATGTATATATATTTTTAAAAGAGCTTATTGTTTGTGTGTATGTCAAAGAATGAATAACCATTTAAAAAGAAAATATCATATGTGAACAAAAGATGGTATACAACAACAATATCTTTTCAAAGCTTTAATAGAATCATTAATATCCGCCCATTTGATTGTTCCTCTAGTGTCATATATATATATATATATATGTATTTTGTAAAAGAACAATACAATAAGAAATTGAAAAGATAATTGAAATTATTTAATATAAAAGAATAGATGTTCATGTAAATATAAGATTATGATTAATTAAATTAAAGATAGTTCGTCTGTGAGATATTCAAATCTTTTTCTGTTTATATCAATATTCATTTTTAAAGTAAGATAAACTTGAATATCTATACCGCTGGGCAAAGTCTTTCCGTCCCTTCTTTCTCATTCTTTTCGTATCGAAGCCCATTGGTCTCAAGTGAAATATTGGTTATAAGTATGGCTTAAATACCATTTTAGTGTAATTTATGATTAATTACGATCTGCTTCAATGAAAAATGTACATCATTTAATACAATCAGCCAACACTACAAATGAGTTGGTTGAGAGACTATTTCATAACTAGGTTATCTCCTTTGCTTTGATATTTTATGAATGTTCTATTAGTCGACGACGACGACGACGAAAAGAGTCTAATGATTCAAACCAGTGAAACAGTTAGTAGATACAAAAAACAAGAGATAACCCAATCGTAAAACATTTTGTCAACCAACTCACTTATAATCTTGCTCAATTATATCGAAAGATGTGTGTTCTTCCTTGAAGAAAATTACCATCAATCATATTATACACTACAATAAAGTACTTCAGCCATCCTTGTAACTACCATTCACCTAAGACTAAAGAGGTTTATATACAAAAAGACTGATGAGGAAGAGAGAGGGGAAAAGACTTTTGCCCAGAGGTATATATATATATATTTCGAGTATTGAAAATTTTCTTGAACCACTGTTAATTAAAATAACGATAAGAATCGCTGTTCTTTCAATATTGATGTCCGTGGATATAGTCCATACAGTTCTCTATTCATAAATATCATAAACTCTATTATGTGAAACTTTTGAATAGACATATAGCAATACATTTCATATCATTCGATATATATTGACAGAAAATTCCAGTATCAATCAATGATAAAATTTCTTATTCAGAAAGGTTATGTCTCATTTAATACTTATGACAACAGTTAATAGTGAGTAATACTCAATTACTTAATACAGTTTCTAAATAGAATCATTGTTTTAATGATAAATACTCATACATTGATGATGATCCTAGATGTGAATAACTTATCTATAAATAAAAAAATATGAAAAATCAAGTCATTCAAAATAGTCAATTTACAAATCAACAAATACTACTCAAATTTCAAATGTACAGTTTATGGTATTTGACATAATCAATTACAGATGATTATAACATAGTTTATTTCAATAGGAAATATTACATTCATTAAACTCAGTTCAGCACTATGTCATTCACGTATAGTAGCATTGGTAATTAATGACTAATTATTCACATTTAGATTGACGAGCACATTCAAAAACTATAGTGCATGAAAACAATATCATCAATGTAAATCGACCCTATACGTTAATAGATATTCGATGACAATCTGTCCTTCAAAAAAATATAACTTTGTTTCATTCTTCGATTTTCAATCAACAGATGTAGGATGTTCTAAAATGTGTTACTATATTTCCATACATATATATTTAACACAGCAAGGCTTAAGATATGGAATATATAAACTATGTGTAGATATCAATTATAATAATACAAGAATGTTTCTTGTTGTTTTTAAATAAAATCAATTTTAGAACTTTTTAAATATACTGTATATATATATATATATATACATGTACATGAATAGACATCTTATTACAAATGATAAATCTAATCTTAATGAAGAAATGTGTCCTATCATTAAGATCGAAGACGATTTTATTAAGTAAAGATTCATTGAACAAGTTTTATATAAAACTTCAATTAGTAGTAGGTTTTATTTATGCTTTCAATTATTATCATTGAAACCTGCTACATCAGTTAAGAAAATAGATGTCAAATAAAAAAGAAACAGTCTATGGAGACAACCTTGTTTTTCATGAAAATGATTCTTCTCATTGTAGAATAATTGAAAATAAGAGAACAAGCATGAAATGAGCCAATATGGTGAATATTTATGCGTGAAGATATGACGATATACACACATTCCTATAACCTGTTTCATTTAACCTTCCTTCACACTAATTTATAGTCCAGCAACCTTGTGACTTGAAGGTTATTATACATTTATCTTTTGTAGTACATATACATTTTATTTTGCATAAACGTCTGCTTTAAAATCATCATGTTTTGCATTATAGCGAAAAATATTTAGGCATTAAAAATTAAATTAATTTAAAATTATCCAATAATGTTTAATAATCGTATTGTTGTACGTGGTGTTCATTATACACTTCAAGACGAGATTGGTCATGGTCTTCATAGTATTGTTTATGGTGGTCATGATCTAGATAATGGCCAATCAGTAGCTATTAAAGTAATAAATCTTGCTCATGGATCATTCCATTCTAAAGCTGGAACAGAATCTCGTCGACAATCATTTTGGAAAGAAATTGATATGCTTTTATATTTACAAGCATTAAATCCATATGTTATTCGTATATTTAATTATGATAATAATGATCAATATGGTACAATTGTTATGGAACTTGGTAAAACATTTCGTGATACTTTATTGGAGCATGTTCATTCTAGAATACCAATACCACCATTTCTTATTCATAGATTTTGGTCACAAATGGTTGAAGCTATTTTTTATTTACATCGAATTGGAATTGTACATGGTGATTGTAAACCTGAAAATTTCATTCAAGTTGGTCCAGATGAAACATCATTAAGACTTATTGACATGGGTATAAGTTTTCAATTACCACCAAATGTTACAAGTCATATACATACGGCTGCTGGAACACCAGGTAAATTCTCATAAATATGAACCACATAAAAATAAAAAACAGATTTGCTCTTTTTACCTTCTTTTTTATTAAAAAATAGATTATGTATCTCCAGAAATGGTTAATTCTCGAATTGGTCTAAGTTCTAAATCAAAATATGGTTATAAAGCTGATATATGGGCACTTGGTGTTATTTTATATGAAATGGCATTTGGCGTTCGACCTTTACAAGGTTTAGGTAGTAATGCAACCAAATTAAGCTTTTTAGGACAATTACAAAGAAATATCAGCATACCTAATCATCCTGATAAAAATCTACGTGATATTCTTAAACGTTGTTTACGTTCAAATCCTCGTCGACGTCCAAATATCGAACAGTTATTAAATCATCGATATTTGGCAGGATGACGTTAAATCAAATAAAAAAAAAAAAAGAAGATATAACTTTTCTTTCTTGTCATGTTTTTTGATTTATTTTTCTCTTTATTTTTTTTAAAATTTATATTCTCGTTATTTCAAATGACCTATCTCCTTAGGGTAACTAACTAGCTCGTCATAGATTGATAGATATATATGCTCAATGTATCTATATGTGCCTGAGTATGATGCAATATATGTGAAGCAAGAGTAGCACATTTATACAAAATAAACTTCAATTGATGATTGCTCAGCTCTTACACTTCTTCCTTTGTCCGGTATTGCTCTCTTACTTACTGTCTTTTTTCTTTGTGCATGCATACATGTACGAGCTAGCCGCAATACTTCATTTCACTTTTTCATTTATTTCATCGCGTTAATATTTGTATGCATGATAGACGAAACTGTTCTTCTTAGTAGTGTATATATGTTCGAATGACAGAGCAGCCGTCGACATATTGTTGATAAAAAAGAACATAGAAATAAAAGAACTCATCATGGGTGATGTTGTGTTACCGGGACGTCATATACATTTACGGCGTGGCTTATATAAAATTGATGGTATGCTTGGTTTTGGTCTTCATTCAAAAGTCTATTCAGCACATAATACAACAACAAAACAATCCTTGGCTTTAAAAATAATTGATTTAGAACATCAAAATGTTACTGTACGAGCATCAACAATATCACGTCGACAAAGTTTTCAAAAAGAACTTCAATATTTATTACGTTTACAAACAATTAATCCATATATTGTACGTATATTTGATTATGATGTACAACAGTCCGGTGTTATTGCTATGGAACAAGGTACACCACTTCGTTATTATATACCGAAATGTCCTAATTCATCAACACCACAATTATCACCACAAGTTGTACATCATCTTTGGCGTCAACTTGTTGATGGTGTAAGATATTTACATCGTGCACGTATTGTACATTCAGATCTTAAACCAGAAAATCTTATTGTTTTATCAGATGGACAAATACGTATTATTGATTTAGGTTACATTAATTTTTGTTAAGTTTATTTTTGATTTTTTAATCTATTAAATTATAGGTGTTTCATTTACATTACCTCGTATGGTAACAGCTAAACGACGTATATGGGCTGGAACACCTGATTATAGTGCACCAGAAATGCATAAATCACCATCAGGTCTTCCACCTAAATATGGTTATAAAAGTGATATATGGTCATTAGGTATTCTTCTTCATGAAATGACAACTGGTTTTCGTCCATTATGTGCATTGAATAACAATTTAGACAAGATTTATTATTTAAAACATTTATATCGTGATCTTCCAATTGATACAAATGTTTCACCAGGTGTTTATGATGCAATGAAACGATGTTTACGAGTTCGACCAAATTGTCGACCAACAGCTGAACATCTTTCTTTCCATCATTATGTTGTACATGGTTTTTAAAGACAAAAAAATATTTTTTTCTTGTATTTAACAGAATTAAAAATGATTCATGTTGACAGATATTAATAAAATCTTAAAATAGAAAGGTGATGAATAAATTGAAAAAAAAACATGATTGATATAAACAATGAAGTTTTATGATTGTTGGAATATAATAGAAAAATTTCGAATAAGATGAATAAAGTTTTATATATAAATTAGCATTTTGTAATTATACAAAATGAATTCAATTTGTTTTCTACAATTGGTGTTAAATCATAAATCAAAATTTTATTATCTGTTCTATCTCTACTTTATCTGCCCTCATTAATATATATATATATATATATATATATATAATATTATATACGATTGATTGCTAAAAAATAATATTAATCGCTATTTTATATGTCAAGTATGGCATGTCTGCCGAAGAGCAATTGGAAAATATCATATTTACTTATCTTTGAAACTATTATGTTTATGTGTTATTGCATAGTTGTTATTATAAGGTCATAAAAAGAGGAGATAGTAAGTGTCATGATGTATGCATGTGTGCACGTGTTTATTGATATAAGAATCAACGAGTGAAAAAATTATCGACATATATATATAATAATTAAATATTCAAATTGATAAAAAGAGATATCAAATTTAATGGTTTTTTTTTCTATATTAAATATATTATTAAAGAAAAATCAAAATTTACTATGTTTCTTTCTTCGTCTTTTCAAATAAAATGCTTCATTTATGTATCATAAGATAGAAAATAATGGCTAATGTTATCTACGAAACAATCACAAAAAAAAAAAGATTAATATTATGTCATCATCATCAATAGAAGAAAAACTAAAGAAGCATTTATGAATGATAAACAATCAATTTAGGTGACATTGACCTTAACTAATAGATATGGAATTCAATCTAATTTTTTACTCCATATAAATCCTGCTGTATGTCAAGCATTTGATATTATGAATTAAGTAGAACTATATCATGACGATGGTTGAAATTTTATCAATCTCAAAAATATATTGAACACTCGCAAACAAACAAAAGCTATTAGTATTGAAATTAAAACAACTCTTGAAACGATTCCTTTGATTCTTTTCATTAGCCATTGCAGTTTAACGTTCTGCTGACAGGTGGATAATCCAAGAACAAGGCAAGTTGACTGCTGGCAGCCCAGAGGGGCTTCCTAACTGCTGCAAGCAGCAGCAGGCTCTGTGCGTATTGATAATATCCTCCGTAGGCTGACTCTTAAAATAAACGAAGTGAATATACTTTTAATATGCATCTATTCAATTTCATCTCTATTCAACAAAGAAAGTACTATGTGGCAAGGTTTATGAACTCAAATTTACTGAAAACAAACAATTGATCAAATATTACATGAATTACCCTTACAACAAATAAAGTCTAAGAAGTCAACCGAAAAAAAAAATCTCCTCGAACGATTTCTTATGCAAATATAAGATGACCTTCAATTGTTCAATTCTTACAGAACCATATTTAGCATCATACAAATATTTTCTTTTATAGACAGAACAAAAAAAACTGAACAAATAAGGAAAAAAAAACTCGTGCAGCTAATCAATACACACACGCAAAAAGAAATATAGATACAACTGCGAGTAATGATACAAAAAAAAAAAGAAAGAATACAATCATTTATAGCAAAAAGAAAAAATCAAATAAGATATTCATTCTTTTTTTCCATGGACAAAATAGACACAAAAAAAAATATATATATATATTTGTTTTTTTTTATATAGAGCACCATTCGATAAGAAAACGCACACACATCAAAGTTTGATTAATTGATACAATGTACAGAAATAAAATAAGGATTAATTCTTATACAAATAAACAAACGAAAAATATAAACAAATTTCATTCGTATGAAATCATTTCTATTTTAAATCAAAACCAGAAAATATAGCCGGTGATTAATATCGACTAGAGTCATTATTGCAAGATGAAACAAACAAAAAAAAAACAAATGAAATATATGATCGTCGAATAAGATGTATACGAATTGATGTATTTGATATCACAAGAAAAAGATGATAAGAATAAAAATGTATATCATCATACACCACCAGTAAAATTTATATAATTTTCTGGTATTAAACCAGTTTTACCATTAATTGTACCCATTACCTTTTCAAAATCAAAAATAAATAAATAAATTCTTATATTAATATTTAATCTTAAGTACTTACCCATCCAGGTTCTTTCGATGGTCGAACTAAAACAAATGAAAATAATTTATAGAAAATGGATCATATGTTTTTTTTTTGTTGCAAAGCTTTACTTTGAGTAACAATTTCATTTGCATTAAATGATAATTCGGATTCATTATCAGCTATACATTGATATAAAGTTATACCACGAGTTTGCCTTCAAACAAAAAAAGAATTATGAAATTTTATTTCTATAAATATTTATAATAAATGACTAACATTTTTGAGGTAACATTTGTTGTTTGTGGTGTTCGTGCTCCTTTTATAGATAAAGACGAACTATTAGTTGGTTCCAATTTTGATGATAATGAAAGAATATTTGTAATTGATAAACGACTTGCATTATCGGATGAAGCTTGTCTTGTATAAGATGATAAAGAAGTTGAGCGTGTTTGACTACTGAATAAATTGGAACTTGGTAATGATTGAACACCGGTTGATGATGTGTTACTTAATGATTCTAAACTACTACTTGAACTAGCTAAAAGAAAGAATAATAGAATAAAAATAAGTGTACAAAATCGAAAATCATACTTTTTCACGGAGAATATGGTTTCAAATATAAATGATATCAATATTGAGTTAGAGATTTATTGAAAGTTTCAAAATGTTAGAGGGTATCATCGAGGATTTTACATAGTCAACCACGAAAAATAAATAGGTCTCAGAAAATTTTTCTCAGACTTTATAGAACTCTATGTATCGATCATTCGATTAAACAATTTTCTTTTCATTTGATAAATAAACGACGATGCTAAAGTTAAAATGCTGAACAATCTGAGACAGCTATCTACTAGAAGTATGATATTTTCATTATTATGACTGTAATATCATCATTTATTTACCACATAAACACTTTTTTATCAAAATGATCAACAAAGAGAACTTTACAAAGTTTGATATCAGAAAAGTTTCGTGAAGTCTATTCATGTTTCATGGTTGACTAAGCATAGTCTTCAACTATAGAACTTTTAGTAATTCTCTAGCTCAAAATACTACTTAGTCTCGTTTCCGACGAGCTTTGTTTTTTGGTATAAAACTCAATATTGACATCACTTGTATTTTGAACCGTACTTTCTCTCTCTAGAAAAATATCATTTCCAATCTTTTTCATACGACTTTAGTAAAGATTGATAGCAAATTTTATTTAAATGATATCTTCAAATCTTGAAAAATACTTCTTCATCAATAGACGAAATTCCACATTTACAAAAACAATCGAAAGCAAACCTTTATCATCTTAGAACAACAGATGTGCGAAAATAAATTTCTGTTTGTTCCTGTCTCAATGATTTCAATTCCGACCTTTTCACAATGTACTCGTACGAAATCTACATAAAAGTTTTTAAATCTTTACGATTTGATTTCCGACGTCTCAAATCAGTTATTGAAGATGTTACCGTCTGGTTTTCTTCTCAATTAGTTCTCTACTATCATTTTCTCTCCTTTTCAATTCCAAATTTCTTGAAATTGAGGAAAGTTTTTAAAAATTCATCCAAAAATTTCAACCACCACTGCTATACTTGATTTTCATGTGTCAATTATTACAACGAAATACATATTTCTTTCTTTTTAACTTAATTTTTTAAATTTAAAACTTAATCAATAATAACTTACAATCTTTTCTATTTATATCTTCTGGCGTTGGTGTATATGCACTTTTATTCGTAACATTTAAATTATAATCTTGATTAGATAAACCATGTCGACGTGTATCACCTGTTGTTTCAATTATATTACTTGTTGTTGGTGGTGGTCGTCTTGCAATTGACTATAAAGAAAAAACCCACATCATCAATTACGTTTTTTGTTTATGTGTGTCAACTTTAATTATACAATCTTACAGCTAATGATGATAAAGAAGTACTTAGATGAACAACAGCATTTTCACCATTTTCATTTGTGTCAACCATTTCATCAATATCTTTTTGATCAAGTTTTGTTTTAAACATTTTTTCATAATGTATTATAATTAATTCAACAATAGCATTACGAAATTTAATATCATATATTGATGAAACAGTTTCAACTTCTGGTCGAAGTAACGATGGACCAAAGCAAACACCCAAATTAACAGGTGTCATTAAATTTTTTTCATGATATTTTGATACTCTAAAAAAAAAAAATTTGAAATTTTTGTGAATTACAAAAGAATTTTATTTACTTATTTAAATGTGCCATAAGAATATGTAAAAGTTCATAATTTGCTTTAGGTAATTCTTTTAATAAACTATGCAATGTTCGAATACGATCAGTTTTATCATCAATCACTAATAATTAATTAAATAATTATATTTAAAAAACGACAACAAAAAAAAAACATAGGTTAAATCTTCATACTTGCTGCTTCAATAAATCGATTATGTAATTTAAACGTAAATACAGGTTCTTTTAATGTTCTTAAATAAAGTTTAAGTGCTGAACAAACTGTTTTTAATTCCATATCTTCATCAATAGGTGTTGATAATTTTTGTGCATGTGTTCTATGCGAATCTAAATAAAACACATAGTTTTTTATTTTTATTTTTGATTAAGAAAAAATTCTTTTCTTACCAAAATGTGTAGCAACAACTGAATTTACTTTTGATTGCATACCAACAATACGATAAAGACCTTGTTCATTTAAACCTCGACGTTCAATTATTCGAATACATTTTTTTATAAAATCTATACCAGCTTCATCTAATTCATCTATTTTTAACAGAGTTTTTCTAAAATAAGTTTTAGTGACAAAAGAATAGACTTTACTTTGCATTTCAGTTTTTGATGATATTT